GTTGCCATAGAACTACGAGGACTGCGAGGAATGGAACGAGTACGGGGAGCTCAAACAGAATCTTGGGATCAAGCCCAAGAAGAAGAAGAAGAAGGCTACTACTGAAGACCCTGCTTCTCCAACTGCTAAACGTGTAACCGACCTCTCCGGAGCCCCGTCTTCTGCGATACCTATGACCACTTCTTCGCCCAACATCGTGCCCGAGGAGCCAACACCCGTCATGGGCAATGTACAGGCTGCTGCTCTTGCTGCAGCGGCGGCTGCCGCGGTCAAGAATTTGAAGAAGACAGGAAGTATCAAGAGTGTTGCTAGTAAGAAGGAGGGGGGTGAGAGACCTGTTACTCCGATTGCTGCTGTGATAGGGGCTAAGGATGTCAAGGAGGAGGTGATTGTTGAAGCTCCTACTACTGAGACCCAGGCCGCCCCCGAGGAATTGGAAGAACAGAAACTGGGGAATAGTGGTGAAGAGAAGGCTGATGATAAGACTGAGGATAATACCGAGGAGAAAATCGGAGGCAAAACAGAAGAGGGTGTGGAAGCAAGGGTTGAAGAGACTGAAGAGAAGGCTGAATACAAAGCCGACGATAACATTGTAGCAAAGGTCGAAGAGCAAATCGAAGAGAAAGCTGAAGACAAAGCCGAAGTTATAGTCGATAAAATTGAATTAGCAGAAGAGAAAAAAGAACAGTCAACACCTGAAACCCCAGCAGTCACTACTATCACTCCCGAAAAGAGTGAGGAGCTCGAAGAAGAAATCGAAGACAGCTTAGAGATCGCAGTCCTCGCTGCAGCTACGGCTGCAGCCCTCGAAAGGGTTGAGAGAGAAGAGAATATCGAGGAGGAGGAGCATTCTACCGTTGAAGCCAATGTTGAGACTACCGCAGCTGCGGTCATAGACCCTGCCGAAGAGGAACCAGTTGTTGCCACCGCCGTTGCAGTCGAAGTGCTCGAACAAAGCGAGGTTGAAGAGGTGCAGGTGGTTGAGAAAAAGGAAGATGATGATAGAAAGAACGATGAGAAGACAGACTGTCAAAAGCAGCATGCTGAGATAGAAGATTATGAGAAGGATGAGGTCAAGGAGGACAAACAGCAGGTTGTGGGAAAGAAGGAAGCGGTAAAATCCGAAGTCCCAAATACTGATGCCGTCTCTCCAGGTTCTGAAGGGGCAGAAGAAAAGAAAGTTGATCAGGCAGTGAACGAAGATGACGATATGCTAGCCGCTGTACTTGGCGTCACCACTGCCACAACTGTCACTAAAATTGATAAAGAAGAAATCAAGAAGACCCATGAAGACGTCGTAGAGGAAAAGAATGATATCGAGAAGGCAGATGAGAAGTTTGTGGAGAAGACAGTGGAGAAACCAGTTGAGAATGCAGTTGAGAAGGCAGTCGAGAAGGCAGTCGAGAAGCCAGAGGTAGAATGCGTGACTGAGGAACAGAAGGAGGAGAAAGTTACGGAGAAGCCTAGCAAAGTAGTAGAGGATATCAAAGAAAAGAAGGAGGAAAAGGTTGAAGAGACCGGAGGAGCTATAATAACAATTGTTAACAAAGTTGAGAAGGTAACTCAATCAACCCCGCTGGAAAATATACATAAAACTTACTAACAAACTCAAAACATCAGAAGGAAACACCTTTACCTACCGTTATGATTGAGAAGGCAGACGATAAGGGCGCCGACGCAGAAAAGGAGCGCAAGGTAATATTTGAGGAGGCTCAAAAAAAACTGGAAGGAGGACCCAGCAAAGGAGACGAGAAACCCGAAAATGAAAAAGAAGATGAGGATGGTGAGAAATGACCCAAGGACAACTTACCCCGGCTGGATCCCAGGATATTAATATAAATAAATTTACTCGAATGCAGGCAAAGCAAACAAAAATCGACTGTTCACATGGTTCAAAGTGCGTCTTTCTTTCAAGAAGTCAACCGGTAACCTTAAAGATCCAAACGAACGTGATCGTCGCGCCGATTTGAGAAAATCAAGGTCAACAGATGAGCTGAGAAAATCAACATATGCTTTGTTTAAATCAAAATCTACCGACAAAGCATTGCAAATGCACTTAGAAAAGACCACCCCAGATGCTTCTGCAGTTCCAGCCATTCCGGCCATTCCGGCTATAACCAATACATCACCTGCTGTACCCGCTGCTGCGTCAGCTGCAGCTACAACCACTTCTCCCAACCCCAAAGCTTCATGATGGTAGAGTTTTATCGTATATGTTTGCATATGGGCAGTACAATTTCATTCTTGGAGTTCTTTTTCATAGTTTTCTGTTGGGATTTATAAAGTTTCTTGTTATATCGCCACTACCAGGAGGGTCGTAATGTAATACCTTTACTTGACCTCTATCCCCGGTTATATTTCTACTCACTCACTCACACTTAATTTTTTTCCTTATCTTATCTGGAGCTACGGAACACTACACGACAGCTAAACGGATCGGGAACTTACGGAATTGTATATCCCAGTCGAAAGACTGGTATATGCCATCTTTTCAATACCTATCCGCAGCTGGACTCTCGAGAATTTGTTTCGTTTCCTTAGATGTGTATTACTATGCGCTATTATCATGTACCACTACCCTACCCTAAATTTTTTCCTTTGCTATAGTGTGTCATTTATCTCTTAGCTATTATTTCCCTCTATCTACGTTTCCTTATGGCCTCTTTCTCTCTTCACATCAACCTTTGGGTGGGGAACACACGCATATCGCGATTCTACTTACCAGATCTTATGGCCAAAAGTTTTTTTATTGTATTACTAGAGTCAGTCATATGAGAGGAAATGGAAGCCTGGTTGCTCTTCACAGCCACTCACTCGATTGTTGTTCTTCACGTGCTGGTTCCCACTTAGGATACGGCTCTGATAGGATTATATCCAGCGAATTGGTCATTGAGCTCTCACGCTAGATATTAGGATAAATGTATTTCCGGGCCCTGTTTATATCGGATATAGGGTGCATGTACATACCTTGATAAATTAAGGAGTTTGTAGCTCTGGTTCATAGGCTCGGATAATACAAGAGATGCCGGCAGATCATTTAGCTAGCTAGTTTATCTATGGCCAGGAGCTTATCTGGCCCGCTAAATATAATTTGGCGTTACAGGTGGACCCAGATGATGTTTGATCTGATATCTCGTGATATCTTTGGGCAACTCAAACTGTCCAATGTAGCAACATACCATAATATTATACACATCTTATGTACCCATCCATGTTATAGAGTGCCCAATGAATACAAGGACTCTTTATTTGTTACATAAACCTAGTGCAATTCCCAACCTCATCGACAAACCCCACGTAAAAATCAATCATCGCAAAAAAAAAAAAAGTAACGAAAAAAGGGAGACAGAGAACCGCGCACGGGATGCCCAGGTGGGATCACATTGCAGTTTCAGCTATTATTATGCTCAAGAAGTGAGTCGAACACTCGATCTTCGCATTTCATACGAGTGCGACGCCTTACCAACTTGGCCACTTGAGCACTTCGGTTTTCATGGTACATGACTCCGGACAATTATTGGGTACATGCGCTACCGTCCAACCAACCCCAGATTATCCGGCCGCGGATGTATGTACATGTATTCTCATATGTATGCACTCCGTACTAGAACACTCTACTCTACTCGTAACTTCCTGACGTTTTTGAACGCGACTGATATTGCATACCATACAAAAATACGCCAAGATCCTGATTTTGGGTGTATGCAATAGTGGCCCAGTCCAAAAACGCCAGGAGACTACGAGTACACATGAGCAATGCAAGTAAGCTGATCCCGTGGATAGAGTACATGTATGTACATGGAGTACTCCATATAGAGATGTACAATGTATCTACTCCTTACTTGTTGAAGGATCCAAAGAGGGTTAGAGCCGTGTTGCGTGGAGTAAGAGACCGGCAGCCCGGACACCAATGAAAAGAAGAACTCTCTTGGCAATAAACGTGGTCAGTAGAGTGAGACAACACTGTGGTGGTGTTCGAAGCTAAACCAGAGTTCCGATCACTTGGCTAGACTCGGTCTAAAGGAACTACTGGCTATCTTCACTTCGGTATGTATTTAGTCTCGTGCCCACTTTGCATGGTGGTGGTGGTGGTGGTGGTGGTGGGTTGGATGCGTAACAACCTATGGTAGGTACTCTACGGTACTGTGGGTTAGAGTACTCTACATATGTACGGTACTGTATGTACCTACTCTACTCGACAGGTTTTTTTTGATGATGAGGCCGGCTTAACCCCATACAGTACTAGCTAGATCCATCCGTGCACGCAGCAGAGGAAAAAAATTCAAGAAAGAAGGGGATGGATGGGGGAAGAAAATTGTTAACACTTTCCTGAATGACAACTTCAACGTCAACTAGGCAAACAATAGTAGTTTCGATGCGAAATCCTATGGTCAGTGATCAGACTCTTAGAAATCCCCTGAAGCGATAGTGGCTATCAGCACGAGTGACATTGCATGAATGTAGTACAAGCATTTCGGAGAAATATCCGGAACACTAGTGTGCACGCGTGTAATTGATCTTCTTTGGGAGCTTCTAATTCTCAGCTTGAGCTGTCCTGATAGTTTGATTCTGATTCCTATCTTCCAATCCAAAACCGCCGCTACCTGATAGAAAAAAAAAAAAAATGAAAAAAAAAAAAATGAAAAAAACATCAATCGCTGATATTTTTAGCGTGCCTTCCAAGATCTGTGTGAAAGTAGAGTAGAGAAAACTAAATAAAATCAGAAGACTCCAGTCTGGTCCTCGGGAGTTAGTCGTCAAAATCGTAAAATCCTGCTTTTTTTTTGAACAAATGAAACCTCTGAAAACATGCGCTTCTCCTTCGCCCATCCATGAATAATGCCCAATAACGCCATAATAATGTACCCCAAATATTTACCAACGGGAAGGATAGTAAGAAAAAAATAAACAAAAAAAATCCAAATCGAATCCCCAAATGCATGCATGCATAAAATGTCTAAACTTATGGCAAAGAAAATTTCCCCCTTGTCGAAAAAAGCTTAATTTTCTTTGCCGGACTTCATGGCACCGCTGACTTTTTGCTTCAGCCCCTTGACCCTGTCCTTCAATCTGCCAAATAGCTTATTTTTCTTGGTTCCACGCTCTTCCACAGGTTTTGCTTCATCCTTGGTATCCTTGACAGCCGTGATTTTGATATCCTTAATGAATGTAGTTTTTCGGGTACCTTGTGGAAGTTTCCTAGCATCCTCACCCACTCCCGCAATTTCTTTTAATAATCCATGGGCGCTCTTTTTCCCGTCGCTGCTAGAAAACCCGGAGTCTGCTCTCACAGGCTCTTCTGGGATCATGCTCGTGGGAGCTGTTATAGCAAGGGGTAAATCCTCTGGCTCCTCAATTTGTGTAACCATATCCAGAACATCAGATGATTCCATCGGACCACTCTCGTCGCTAATGGAAATTTGCGGAATCTCTGTTTCAACTGGCGATAAAACTGTAGGAAGGCGAGATGCGGCAGGTGTGAATTTGGATAATGAAGAAGTGGAGCTAAAGCTTCGTTTCAAGCTCTCAGCGTGATATTCCTTTGGATTGTCGAGTGAAATTTCGCTGATTGAGCGACATTTCTTCGGTCTCAAGAAATGATTGATGTCAAATGCTGGTGCGGGGGAGGAAGACGAATACAAAGATTGAGTGTCATCTTCTTTGCGACTCTCAGAAGTTGGTTCTCTGCGCAGTGAGCGCAGTGAGCGCACAGATTGACTACGGAATGATTGGGTTGCTCGGGCGCTCCGCTCCTCCTCTGTAGTTTGCTTTCTTGATGTTCTACCTGATACCAAACACACGGATGGTCCAGATGGTGGTATCGTAATTCCGGTTTGCGAAGATCCCATCGAAAACCGAGATAGGGTAGATGATTGTTCCCATCGCTCCATGGAACCAGCCGTGGAGCTTGGTGAATCAGGTGCGGACTCGATGAATATGGCCTCTGAGATCTGAACATCAATCTGTGTACTAGAAGTGTTGATTGGCGATAAGATCAAATCACGGACTGAAGAGTTGCTGATAGCTCGCATTTTTTCGTTGGAACTTGTTGTAATGATAGATAAATGTTTAGGACGTTGAATACAGCTGATGTTTTCCGAGGATGTATTCCTTGACTTTGTAAACATGCTTTTAGGGCGCTGAAGACTGACATCATCCGAGGATCCATTCCTTGACCTCTTGTAAAGTCTCAATTCAGTCGAGGAGCCCTTGTTGCCAAATGTCCGTTTCAATGGTGTTCCGTGTGTTGTTGCCGTCGTATCGAATGCAAATTCACTGTCCTGGGAAGGTTGTGGCTTAAAAGCCTTTATTCTTCGTCGGACAGAATCCTTCAATGCATTAGGCCCAGATAAAGTTCCACGAATTGCCGGTGTTCCATCAGCGAAATCAACCGTAAACTTGATTGGCAAAGTTTGTTCGCTGTCCACAGGGACCTGAACCAATGCATTAGCATCAATGCTGTGTGTGGATGTTAAAGCGCGCAATTTGCGCAGATAATTGAATAAATAAAGAAGACGCACTTCTTCGATCCAGTGCTCAAATTCAATGCATTGTCCATTATCCTTTGTCAAACTTTCCAAAAACCTTCTCAAGTCATCCATCCTTGCAGATGCGTCGCCAAAACGGGTTATGGAGTTGTTTTGGGTGGATAACGATTGTCGAAGGCGAGCCACAACTGCATCATCGAGTGCTTGTAAAATTGCGCCAGGTTCAATAGTGTTTAAGAATATCGAATCTGTAAGGATGATTAGTTTCATGAAAATGCAAAGCGCTTCCAGAAGTCAATCGAACCTTTCCGCAACTCTTGCATAACTTCCCTGATAGATCGTGAGGACCCCGCAGCAGCAGTTTTAAAAACAGATTTTTTGACAAAGTGGTGAACATAATCTCGATACCGTGATTCAATGTGTATCTCCGGAAAATAACTATTCGGAATATCAAACCGATTGAAGGCACGATCAAAGCGAATAAGGGAACATTGTTGAAGTACCGGAGAATTGTTGGTTGTTGGCGGTGCAGGTGAGAATTGTGAATGAACCTTGACTGCCTCCTTTTGTAGTTTTTTTAGATACTGCGTAATGAGCGCTCGATATTGAAGATCCATTGGTACAGCCCCGAATTCTTCTTTTGGTGAGTGGACATCAAACCCCAAGCCTTTAGAGAGGCTTGGCGACGATTGTTTTGGGGATTTGTATGAAGTCTCGTCTCGGCAAGTATTCTGAGTATCAAGAGTTCTATATTGAGCTGAACCGGGGGGAGGTACTTGAATTACAGGTGAATAATATTGTACCAATGCCATATGCTCCTTTTGCCTTTCCTGTTTTTTTGTCTCCCGCACAACAATCGGACCATCACCAAGTGGCTCAATAGAAACTACTGAACGTTCTAACGGAAGGGAGGCCATGGCAGAAGCTGAAGTTGGGGCCGGAGTTGGAGCTGGGACTGGGACTGGAGTAGAAATGGCAACATCCTTTTGTGTAGCTGGTTTTGGCTTTGTTTCCTTCGCGAAATTTGCTGCCGTTCCAAGAAAATCACGAACCGAAGGACTTTTTTTCAGCGTAGAGAATGAGCTGGAGTTGCTGTGAGGAAGGGACGACCGAACATCTACCGGAGTGCTGGGACGGGTTGGAGTGCTGGAGCATGTTGGGGTACCGGGACGGGTTGGAGTACTGGGACGGGTGTTGAATGATGGGGTCGAAATCTTCTTCCGAATAGCAGGGATCTCAGATGTCAACGGTGTTTGCACACGAGGAATCTCAGCTGAAACAATGGCCCGTGGTGCTGGAATTGGTAGTTCGGAGTCTGAAGATGATACAACGACCTTTGGTACTGAAATCGATTCTAGTGGGAGTGAGGTCGAAATTGGTAGAGTCTGAAACACTTTTCTAGGTGGGAGAGTCCAGAACGGCCGTGGGAACATTTCACCCTTCTGATAAAGCCCGTACACACTTCCTGGCAAAAAGGTTTCCAAAAGGATTTCGGCATCCTGGATGATTACGCAAAAAAGTGATTGTTAGTTACTAGCCGTACGCCGGATCAATAGCATATATCAGGGTGGAAAGAAGTACATACAGGAGGCCCAGTACTCAAGGCCTCGGGATCCAATGGAAACAGTTCCAACATTGGTACCCATTGCTTCAAGTCTTGCAGCGGAAACCTTTGTTGAAAACTCGAAAACATCGTCAACGATGTAAAGAAAAACAACCCAAGAGATGGGATAGTTTTAGTATTCAAATAAAAGAACGCTAACACGAGGGAAGAACTGCTCAAGGAAGAGCATGGCAATGGATGGGGATTTTCAATATTATAGTATAAACCCTGGTCCGCCCAGCGGACCTCTAGTTCGTTCAAAATAGCAAATCTGCGACACCACATTCTCCGTAACGGCATTGCCACACATCAAACCGGAAAAACACTAATGCAGTAATGCAGCACGAAGCCTGGAGGGGTTACCTATACGAGATTAGAATTGACAAACCAGATCGCAGCGTGGATTTCGCCCAATTCGCGATTTCCACACGTTTGTGACCTCAATTGGCCGGGAGGTGCGGCAATTATCCGTTAGAGCCCGCAGAGGAAGTGATTTGATAACCAGGAATCCCATTTGTTCCAATGAATAGGGATGCTTTTTGGGAGCTGCGCACAGGCCATGCCCCGGGAAAGTTAAGCCGAAAGTCGGAGCATGAGACAACCTCGGGGCTGACTATCCTGAAAGTAGGAGTTTTTCTGGGCATGCAGATAGAAAAGGAAAGGAAAGAGAAAAGGAATGTTTTTTTTTTTTTTTTTTGGGATTTCACCCCCCTTCTGTCAAGCTTATGCCAATGATACAATAGAGATTGGGATGAGTTTTGTGTGCGCTGTTAGTAGCCCGATGTTTCGTCTTGTTTCCAGATTCCCCCTGCGATTCGATGCTGTAAACCAGGTACCTGCTGTACATGTAGTAATGCCTCAGCTCGATCATGAAGATGGGGGAAATCCCCTCATCTTCGGAGGGCTTCCAATCTTTCGATGGGCTTCAAAGCCCGAGTTTTGATGGCATACATAATACCTGAGTTATGGGACACTCGCACACGCGCAGAGTTAGTACAGTGTACAGAGTAGAATTAGTAGTTAGTACATGTAGTTACTTATCTGTACCATGTATGTTCCTGTCAACCACCTTAGCTGCAAAAATCGCTATCTAACCGGAAATATGTTCGCCCGCAGATGTACCTACTAGGCTAATATCAGTAATAAACGGTTATTGAAACATCTTCCGCTATCTTATGCACCAACCGGAAGTCCACCAGAAAGACATCCGACTCTCTTTCTCAGTTAGAAGTAGGTACTTCATGCCCGCCAAAGCACTCCTATGGCGTCCGTCCGTCCGTTTTCTGGGGTAAGGCTGTACTCTACTCATCGATGATTCAAGCTTGAATCAACGTGTGTTCAGTCCTCAGAATGGCGGCTATTCTTGACCGATCGATCCTCTTCTTTGTTCCAGGGGAGGATAGATGGATGACGATGATGGATCAGTTTAGCTTTTGATCCAACAGCGTGCCAGCTCACCTTCAGGGTTAGGGATGAATATATGGGGTAGAGTAACAAGGGTGTGACCAGCCAGTGTCCCGCGTCACGCCCTTAACCACTTTCTACTGTCACGTCGACGAATCGCAGTATCGCTGCATGAATTCAGCCGACGTGATGTAATGCACGAGCGCCCCCCCAAGAATCCAAGACCACCCCCTCCCATCCAGCCCAAGGCTCCCAGACCCCAATGAGCACCCTATCTTTCATCGTCAATCGCAATTGACCAAGCTGACTGACAATGCAGCCGATTTAGTGGACCATAGGAACACCTCAGCGCATGTACCTAAGTATGACAACTGTCTTTTCTTTTGGATGGTACTGGGTCCATATACCAACTTGGGCCCTCCCCCCATCAAGTCTCTGTTCTTGAAATCCAGCCTCTTTCACATGTCGTCACGTCCGGGGTTTCTAGTTCGTTGGATGCTTTCTTCTTTGCTCTGTAAGAAACACCGCAACCTGCCAATGATTGTGAGAAACAAATTGTTTCTTCCTTTCCCTCGCGTAAGTGGAGGAAAGAAAAGATATGTAGGTGGAAAAGAAGAAACTGATCAAGGATCCCGGGAGAAACAATGGAACAAAAAGAAATTCTTCCATATATTGCACCAATGTCGTGTTTCCAGTCGTCATCAAAGTCAGGCTTATTTTTGTTTCTTCCATACAAGAAAGAGGGAACAGCCACCTCCCCCACGACATCTATTACCAGTAAATGAAGTCACCACTTACTGAGAAATTTCTCACAGAAAGAAAGTTGATTACTCACATAAAGACCTCATAGAAGGGTGGCATGAATTACATGTGGTGTAGTAACAATCCGGTCGTTGAGATGAAAAAACAGGTACAGGTACAGATAAACGAAACATTGAGGCTGAGGAGGCACCCGACACTAACGCGGTTGTTTCCGGAACAAAGAACGAGAACTGTCTTTCAAGCATTTCGCACTGACAGACTACCTACTATCTATCGATGTCGGCACTTATTGACACCAATACTACTAACCGGTAGTACTTTCGCTGAACGGATTCGCCGTATGTACCCACTTTGATGCCTTTCGTGATTAGAGCGATCAGGAAGGAATGGCTGGATTCTGACAAAAATTGGGGGTTTGGATTATGAAAGTTTGGGGGCGCACTGATGAGTAGCCTTTCTGAATTGCGCTTCTCGAGCTCACATGAACTGATATATCCAAATCATGAGACCTGAATACGAAGAAATTTTCTTCCTCCAGCCTTGCGTGGTAACGAATCGTTCAACACATAAAAAAGGAATGAAAAATTTCCTGTCTGCTGCTGCTTTTGATCTCGGCGAATCTGCGATCCCGATACCATACCGGGGCAGCAACGAACCGCCGGGAGAGGTGGCTGCCAATGATCGAGATTTTTTCTCCTCTCCAGAACACAGGTTCCGATGGTATATGCAATAATTTCCAGGTCTGTACTGGAGCTCGGTCTACGGTTTTTTTCTTTTCTCTGAAAATTAAACAAACATACCTAGAGTAGCCCTCTGCATTTCGTTTAAGAATTAAGCGATGGAACGCCGCATTTCGACAGGATTCGATGGCCGACTGCATATCTCTTGTAACTCTCAAAAGGTACAGATCCGCCCGACAATCGAGATCCCAAACCTCAGTGTCGCATGGTATCCGCAGCTATCCGTGAGCTTACCATAACTATCCAGGAGCTAGCCAACAAAGAACCATTGTCAAAGGAACTAAACTAAGGAGCAGCAAGTACGCTACCCCATAAAACCCCATGAATATTCATTCAGACCTGATCAACGGTACAGCAATACTTTATGTACTTAGAGTACAATGTGTTGTAAACTGAGCTGGAGAAAAATCGGGTTACCCCATATCCAAAGTTGTAATGTCTCTGTTTTGCCCGGGCCCCTTATTTCGTAACTCGGCTCCGAGTTTAATAAAGTTTTTGAAAGAGGGGCCCCTGAGTTCTGAAGATTATTGGGACATGGATGCACTACGTAGAGTACCTACATGTACCTACTCTACATGTACTGCTACTCTAGAGTACCTACGGTGTACCTAGCGGGCAGACAACTTCGCAAGGCCTAGAACCCGCAGTGTCCAACCCTAACAAGTTAGGTATCCTTGTCAATGTCGCACCGACGAGCTATTCGGTAGGTTTTCCTAGGCTTGGAGAATCGATGTCTAACATGCCAGGATCGACACAGAAAGCATTCGATCGAACTTGACCAAGAGTACCAAGGTTTCGGTGTTTCCCGTGAGGATGATAGATTATGTTGCCATCTATCTCGAGGACCTCCAGTTCTCCAATAAATTCCTCAACCTCGGGTTTGGGAGAGGCTCTGTATCTTCAGGAGTTCAGCCAACTTTGCCCGTAGAGCAACAAGGCTAAAGTAACGGTCCTTATTTTGGAGGGCAGATAATGGTTTTGATAGTATGGTATCATTAATTGGCTTACTTTCTTACCCAGACTACCGCCCTATATTCACCTTCAGTCCCCGCCTCCCCTCATCTCGTGACGATTTCAAAATGTTGGTTTGACAGCTTTGTTTTGTAATCCCAGTGTAAATGAGCCGGTTTATCCAAAGGTCAAAACAGGAACGATGACTCGTTATCGCTTGCCCGCACTGGGCCGCACATACATGCAACACTCTGTGACTCCCAGGAGCTCAGGTAGAGTAACAGCTAGACGGGCGGGTGACATGTAGAGCATTTCTATGTGGTGTTGGGTTCAACATTGTACTTGGTCAAGCATCTGCAACAGAATGCGGCGTCAGGCGCTTATGATGACTTGTGGAACTTTGGAACTTTAAAGACTTTCGGCGCGGCCCGTTGGCAATTGGTCCTAACATAGATAGTCCAATCATCGTTGCTTCTGAATATGGGTCCCTGATGGCTGAAATAAAGCCGATCGTATATATGTCTACCAAGCATATCGTATTTGACTGGTTGTCGGCCCGAATGGAGAAGTCCTAAAAAGAAAAAATGTATGTTAAAACTTTAGACTTTCGACTCTCGTTTGAAGAGCCTAGCTACTAAGCTACACAGGCTCTGGAAGGAATAATTCAAGGGAAAAGAAAATACGGTATGATCAAAAGGGAGCATGACTCACTCACCACTGTCTAAGGTGCAGTCTGTACCGGTACTTATTCGATTCATTGACATTGTTGACAGGGCCCTTAACAGGGTCCTCTGTCTCTCTTAACCACTTGAAGGCTCGGAGATAACGGAGAAAAGATAGCTAGAGGTTAAACACTGTCTTGGCAACGGTAACCACCACTATCTAGAACTTGTAGAGTATGCATCCGTCCAAACAAAGCTCATATCCCTCCCACATGAACGTTTAGATGAGGAGTTTCATCATCGTCCCTATCCATCTCATCTAGCCCATCTCTTAAAATTCCCGCGAGCTTCAGTAAATATCTATTGTAACAACCAAACTGCTATTCTGACGGGATAGTTGCTGCGCCTCCCTCCTCTAAAACGGAAAGACTTGAGTTTCAAATCTGGTCGTAATAGTAGGTAGCAATCAATCATCGCGAGTCCTTTTTGTTCTGACCGACCTCAAGCTGTTAGAGTCTCCATCTCAACAGTGCCCCAATCCTTCACGAGCCCTGTCTAATTTGTTGTGCCGCCAGTCGACTGACGCGCGTAACAGGGACTTTTGAGGCACCCTGGCCTTTGGAACTGATTGAAAAAGATCGTATTCCGCACATCCCACATCGTTAAAGCTTTTTCGTATATCGGTACAAACCCTAACTAGAGGACTGAACTTGACAAACCTGGGCTGTCAAGTAGAAGCTATCGAACTTTTAAACTTGTTAAATCCCATTAGGAGCTTAAGAAGCGAAATCTACGGCTTAGCAAAAAAAAAAAAAAAAAAAGAATCACGGCAATAAAGGAAGCGGGGTAGCACCAATTTGCAACATAGTTTGCACTTCGACTAGCAGACCACGGTACAACGAAACAGTGAAGCAGCGCAACTTTGGATTTTATCATGACTCCATCGCCCACTTCCTCGTCAACTGGACATTCGCCACCAGAGCAAGCAACGCAGACTAATTCAAACTCTTACAGAGTTGTGAGAAAGCGCAACCGCGTACCTTTGTCGTGTGCTCCTTGCCGTAATAGAAAGTAAGATATTGCCCCTCCTAGGTTCAATATAGAAAGACAAGATATGGCTTAGAACCAATACTCATTCTTTAGACTGAAATGTAACCGTTCTCACCCATGTGAGAACTGTATTCGTCGGGCGGATCCGAATTCATGCACTTATGCAATGACCCCTCACAATACTCGTGCCCGAAAACAGTCATCCAGTTCAAATACCTCATCAGACGAGATGCAATCGCGTATCGACCGCTTGGAGGGACTTGTCCTAAGTTTGATGGGCTCGAATGGAAGTTCCGATTCATCACCACGAAACCGCCAAAGATCTGATAGCACAGAAGATGAGCTGAGGAGCAGGCAATACATTGATGACGAAGAAGAGGATATGGGAATCGAAAGCACGCATGAAGGTAGCAAAAGCCAGGATGGTGGTGGGATCGAGGAAGAAGTCGAGGAAGTGCGGAGCGCTCTAGGGATCATGAAGGTTGAACAAGGGAAGAGCTATTACAGGGGGGAAACTCATTGGGCGGCGATCTTATCGGAGGTTTGATTCCCAGTCTCTTTACTATTATCAGGATTGGCTCCTTGCGGAGAGTATATTTCAGACTTCATGACCCAGGTTCGCTTATTCTGATATACCCAAAAGGAGCCTCGTAAAGAGAAGCGGTGCGTTTGGGTTTCGATCTTTGGACGTCAATTGCTGACAAAGCTGGAACGTGGATAGATTTCGGAGGTCAAAAATTTCTTCAATGAGATGAAACAAACATATGAAGGTAGATTGGCCGATCTCCAGGCCAAGAATACGTGTTCGCGATTGGAGCGCACCGGTTTCCCTTTTTCAGCTAGTAGGCCTCCAAGCAAAGAAGAATTGCTGGCACTAGTGCCACGACAAGATCTGGTCGATCTTTTAGTGGATACTTATTTCAGAAATTATGATCCTATATTTCGTACGTTCATGGTTTATGAAACACCGAATTATGAAAGCTTCGACTAACGCAGTCCAGATGTGCTTCATCGACCTACCTTTTACAAGCAATATGAGGACTTTTGGCGGGATCCATCACAGGTTGACATGATCTGGTTGGGACTTCTAATGTCGATAATGTGTCTCTCTTTGCGAATCTACAATCGATCCGGGGAAGAACCACATGAGCTTGTTGGAAAAACCATCGAAATGTCGCACGCATTTAAGGCAGCCACCGAACAGTGTCTGATCGTGGGGGATTATTCAAAAAAGTTGTACATCCATACTATTCAAACCCTAATCCTGCTAGTGACCCAACATATAAACTCGAAGGATCGAGCGGAGGATAGTTGGCTATTACTTGGTTCACTTGTCAGGCTTGCCTTGTGCATGGGCCTCCACAGAGATCCTAAGAATTTCCCGCAGATTTCTCCAGGCGAGGGCGAGATAAGAAAAAGGCTATGGACCATAATATCCTGTATGGATATTCTGGAGTCTATCAAGATTGGGTTGCCTTCTATGATTCGGATGGATGAATGCGATACTGGCCTACCACTGAATCTACACGACGACGAGATCATCGAAACGTCCACTACTATCCCTCAAGAGCGAGGTCGTGAGGAGCTGACGGGGGTTTCGTATATGATCGCCAAAGCATCCTTATCAAGAGTATACGCAAAAATCGTCGCGCAAGCAAGCTCGCTGGTACCTCGACCGGCCTATGACCAAATTCTGAAGGCAGACGCAGAGCTCCGTGAGCTGTATGGAAAAGCACCTACCTTCTTACATCTGAAGACAAAGGAAGAGTCCAAAAATGACCCTGCATGGCTAGTTATCCAACGTTATAACCTGGACTTAATTGTGCAGAAGGCATTGGTTACACTACATCGACCGTACGCCGCAAGAGCACAAAGTAACTCTAGGTATCAGAACAGTCGACGGAAATGCGTCGATGCAGCCATGACCCTTCTGAAGCATCAGTCAGAAATCTTTCTCGAATCACAGAGCGCACTCCGACATGCAAGATGGTTTACTGAGAGTCTCGGTTGTCATGACTTCCTACATGCAGCAATGATTATATGTTTAGATCTAAGCACAAGCTGTAAAGAACGCGAAGACGATGCTACTAAAAAGGGCGTAGAAGTGGATTGCGAAACCTGGAAACTCGAAAGGACAGAACAATTTAGGGTACTCGAAAGTACCAAGATGATATATGAGAAAAAGGAAAGTAGTATGGACTGTGTGAAGGCTTATGGCGTGCTCTGTGTTATGTTGGATAAGCTTAGAGGCTCAAATTCCGCTGGGTACCTTGATTTACGTTCTAACGTCCCACCTGTGGGATCCCCGTCGGCAATTACACCTGGTACACAAATTTCGGCCACAGATTTGAAATCAAATTCTGCTCTGTCCCAAGGTACCCCATGTACTGCCTCTGCAGGTACACCGGCGACACAAACATTTACAGCCACCCCATCATCGACAAGTTCGGAAAGTGTTGATTCGCCAAATGACCCATTAAAGAGCGAACAAGCAGCTGCGATGACATTAGGAATGATGAGTGGCGGTGGAATGACGCCTGGTTCCGCAGCGGCCGGGATGATGCTCGATAGGGCGGTAACTCCTGGGGGTACTAATATTCTTATGGGGGATGCTAGTAATGGTGGCTATGGAAGTCCCGGATCAAATGGAAACCAAATGCCTTTTAACGGGAACTCTGCATTATGGACGCCGAATGGCCCGGATATGACAGCTAATCTAGACTGGGTATGTTCTTAACTCTCTAGTTGACTCCTACCTCCTGGTGATGTACTGCCCGCGCTAACAGGCTTTGAAGGATGATTGGGATTCTTTCATGCAAGGTATAAACATGGATACTAGCCAATCTTCTGCATGGCCAGTTCTACCAGGGCTCTCAACAAACATGCCCATGTCGACCTTTGGGGCACCTGGCTACGCAAGTCCTAGTAGTGGTGTAACAGGTACACATGGTGATGATGGAGGCGGTGGGGGGGGAGGACAGTCGCAGCAATCGTCGGCATCTGACACGACATCACCGAATACGATACCCAGTATGGCCGGGCTATATCAACCACTTTGAATGAACGGCCTATTCGATAATTTGGTGGGCGATCATATTTATTATATTCCCCGTGTTTCAAGAAACTGGCGTGCCTACTAGGGCCATTTTTCTCTCATAATGGAGGGCGTGGAAGCTGGGTGGAAGGGAGTTGGGGGGGGGGGGGGGGGGAAGACCTGTGGGACATTTCGTTGGCATGTCTGTATCACATTTTAAGAGAAAGAGATTTGATACTGTTCTTGACTTGACATGTATACATGTACTCTCTAGTACTCATACATCACAAATTACAATGATGAGATAACGCTCTCGTCATAAGTTAGTAGAAGCTACAGAATTGAACCAGTATCTTATGGCTTCGAGCCTCACAACCCTGATTCTATAGAGTGACGAAAGGGGTTGGGGCAGCTTTAGATTAAGTTTAAGAAATAAAATTCCTTCCTCAGCCCTTAGATACTGAGGGAGAATATTTCTTGCAATCTCAGAAGATTTTCGTCTGTCGAGAAATTAGCCCTTTTGATCCAAAATTGACTTTTCCCCTACGTATGAAGCTAGTAGTTTCCAAACCACCAGTAAATGGAGAGCAGCGTTTAGGATATCAAAAAGGGATTATTTCTACGGATTACTACTTGGTTCAGCACTTTGTATGGCATATAAGTATCTGTATTGATGTATTCCTGTTTTTGGTACTATAGCTTTAGCTAAACCTCACACCTCCTATTCACTTATGATTTTTAGAAAACTCAAATGTCAAGTAGAAATACAACAATTTTCGGACAATTAATAAATTAAACAAAGAAAAGAAAAGAAAAAAAAGAAAAGAAAAAAGAAAAAAAACCAATTTTCGCAATTTACAAAAACTAAAAGATATGGTCTACCAAGTTAGGAATAGCCTACAAAATCAGACGATCTGCAATCACTCCGTGTTTGGTGGTTGATCACCATATAGACAGAGTTTCCCAACGGATAATAATAAATTATAGTAATTACACGTAATTACACATTCAAGTTCTCAAGATGTACATATGTAGCTACATATGTAGCTACATTCAGCTAGTCAGAGAATCTCTGGAGACTAGAGATTAAAAAAGAGAGAAAACAAGTTATAGAAGATAACTCTATTGTTCCTTAACTATCATAAATTAATTCATTAGAATTTCGGGGTAGTTGTTTATTGAGTTTGAATCTGTCAGAGGGTTGATCTTTTTGTAATCGGCTTTGTAAATTTAGTGATTGATGTAAATTTGGTGGTAAATCCCTACGCACGTTTGCAGACATGTACATACGTGCACATTTAGCACTTTGATTGCAATCTTCTGATTTCTCGATGGACAACCGTTATAACACCAATACCAAGCATACATGTACTTATGTACTTAATACATGTAGTACCTTGATATCAAAAATATACTTATGTAATAACTGTATGGAAACGTACCGGTTGGTTTTACAGTGGTACCTATTAGTAGTACTTAAGCTTACGTATACTACACGAGAATACATGTAAGTGTTAATTCCGCGTAAAACTGAAATAAGCACCTTTATGTACATATACTTCCTAAATGTGATTATTTTTGCAGCAACGTACCGCCATTTTATTTGAACGGAAGCTGCAGCAGAGTCGTATGTCTGGAAATGCTGGAGTTATTATGTGAAATGATTTTTGAACTAACGTCAATGAGTCGATAAAACTAATTAAAGACTACATACATGTAGCTACATCCCAAGGGAGCGTGAAGATCACCCAAAAATACATACATGCACAGTTACATAAAGAATAAGGGGAATAGAGCGTATTTGCCAACCGTCAATTTCAACTATTGACACTTCAAACTTGACAGTTTCGGGAGGTAAAATTGACAGTTCCCCTCAGTGACCAAAATCGATCTGGTTAACGGTGTGACAGAATAAACCCTGAAAACCAGACAATCCATCACGCTACCTGTGAAATACGCTGTTGGAACTGAAAATTCATACCCATGATACTAGCTTCGGTAGTAACAAAACTGGGTACTTGTGATCCTCCTGGTATATCTCACAGCACGCCGCCCCACCGAAATTCAAAATTAACAGCCCCGGTTGCCATTTCGGAGCCCTACAATTTGTAAATTCTTGAATTGACGATTGGCAAATACGCTCTAATACATACAAAGTATGTACTTAGTGAGCTGTGTTTCTGAATTACAGGTAAGTACTCGGGGCAGGTAACAAGAACCTGAACATAAAAACGCGCTAGCAGGGGTCAAAGTGGTTGCTACCAGAAAAACGATGTTCAGGTTCTTCATGCCTACCGCGAGTAGATAGCGCAGATCTGATTACATACATGTACGCACATACTGGGCAGATAAGGGTTAGGGGATGGAATCTATTGTAAAGTCCGGGTAATTTCGGCTTTTTCACTCTAGGTTACTATCATCTTGATGATAAAAGTTTCTATTATAAAAGGTCAGAGAATAGATCAATCTAGTATTAATAGCTGTAGTAATGGCCTCCAAAATTATATGTATTCCATAAATGTTATGATGCATTTTTTGTATGAGCTCACGTGATTTAGCCTTGGTGGGGTTATCAAGGATTCCCGCGCTAAGGGAAAAAAAAATATTTGCCCAAGGTCCGCCTCCAACCATAAGCCCACATCTCAAACAAATATCTCGTCGTTCCTCTCTTCTCCTCCATCATTCTTCACTTCCATCATCTTTCTCAGCCAATCTCATATTACCATTTTCAATTGACCTTCACAATGTATGTTTGTATTCCTTATGCCGCTCCACGAATGATTATGTTAAGCGCATATCTAGGTTTTCTCTCCGCCGCCTCGCTCTTCGCGCTGCACGTCAGACTTCAATTGCAAGCAGCACTCGTCCTTTGTCGACAGTGTTCAAGCCTAGCACCTTCACTGTTTCAAGCAGTCGTCCAAAGAACCTCTCTGAACTCCGTTCATTCGAGTCGCTCTTGCAAATTCGCTACAACTCAACAGATGCCCCAATCGACACTCCAACCCAGTTCACTAACCCCGAACACAAGAGCGCTGATGGTGCTGATTTGACCCCAGCCAAGACTGTCTACATTGGAAACGTCCAGTTCGATGCCACTCCCGAGACTCTTGGTGAAGAGTTCAAGAGATTTGGAGAAGTCAGAGGAGCAAAGATTATCTATGATTCAAGAGGTCTGAGCAAAGGGTATGTCTTCTGTCCTTTGGAATGTTAACTTTCTTTTAAGGATTTCCGATTGACCACTGCTCATTTCTCGTAGATTTGGATATATTGAGTTCGCCGAAGTTGAGCAGGCTGCTGAAGCTATTGACAAGATGCACAACGAGATGTTTATGGGTCGTCGCTTGATCGTTCAATACGTTGTCAAGCAAGCGTCGCGTATTGCTGCTAGCCCAGAGTCCAGGACTTTGTTCATCGGAAACTTGAGCTTCGATGTGACTGATGATGATCTCAACAATCTTTTCAAGGACATTGAGAACTGCGTTGATGTGCGTGTCGCTATGGACCGGTAAGAATATCCACACTGATTCGTTTTGTCTGCGAGAGAGCCTACTGACTCTCGTTAAATTACAGTGCCACTGGTGAGCCTCGTGGGTTTGCCCATGCCGACTTCCTTGATGTCGAGTCTGCTGTCAAGGCTAAGGAGAAGCTTGCCGATGCTGAGGTGTACGGACGACGCCTTCGTATCGATTTCTCTGGCAACAGGCGAGAGGGGGGTAACAACCGTGGTCGTCGTGATGACCGTCAAGGAGGTCGCTCCGGATATCAATCACGTGATCGCCAACAGGGACAATTTTCCAACCACCGAACCTTCACTCCTAGATCAGAGGTCCCTGAATAAATCACACACCACCCTGTAACAAAAATGGATATGGAACACTAAAAAATTCGGGGTTTCTGGTTCATGGGGTTTTTGCTTTGATTAGGGATTTTCTTTTTTCATTTTCTTCTATAGGGAAAAATCAAGATAATGGGGATCGAGTAAGAGCAGCAGAAGAAGGGTATGGGAGAAGAGGAGTTTAAAATGTACATTTATACACATCCCTTTTTTGTCTATCGTATCCGTGTTTTGTCTTGATGTTTCTCTTTTATTGTATATTCATTGTATCATCTACTTTTGTGCGCTTTTTTGTCGATAGATTGCACAAAATCTCTTCTCAAGCGCTTTTGATAATTTCATGCAAGTATTGTCTACATATAGGGCCAAAGCCGTGAGCCGTGAGCCGTGACGTTCGATTGGCCTTGCCAAGCAATCCTGTCGCGTTAGCCTAGCCCGCTATCACAAAGTCTCTAGACGCGTTCGTTCACGCCTTCCTCGCAGCCCAAATGTCTACCAAAAGCCTGGCTAACTCCAGATCTAACAAACAGGCTCGCGAAGCCTCGCCTTTCTTCTCACTCCCTAATGAAGACGGTAGTAATCCCCACCAAAATTATGACTCGGACCAGTCCCAGCAATCTCAACAGCATCAACCCATAACACTATCATGTGCAAGCTGCGAACGAATTGTCGGAGATAGCTCGGCCTTTTTGTGTGCGACCCGGCAGATGGGCACTATCACGTTGGATCGGATGGTGTCCACAAATTTTGGTCCTGGAGGATTAAAGACAAGTATAGAAGGCACTTGGGACGAGTTTTGGTATGGATTCTTGGCGTCGTCCCTTTGTATACGCTGGAAGCTAATATGGAGTTGTTAATCGGGGAACAGTAATTACAAAGACATTATATGTGGGAAATGTTCTACTGCTTTGGGGAAGATGTACTTTGCAACTACTTCGAAGCTTTCGGCTCTGCAGTTTGTATACCCTCGAGATTTCCCCCCATGAATATCCATTAACCTGTATCGGCCTTCTAGGAATAAATACACACTCAATGTAACAGCCCTTTCGTTTTATCATCATGCATCCGATGCACCCTCACTTCCTATCGCTGCCACCTCAGAGATCTATACGCAAATTCATCCTTCCCCCGACGCTTTGGCGGAGAATATTGGTCATATTATGACGATTTGTGTTATGCTCCGTGAAGAACAAGGAGATATCATAAGGGAGCTAAAGAAGTTAGGGCAGTCTACGGGAGTAGAAATAGACCTGGAAGATGGTGGCACAAGCGGGGTAGAGCTCGAATCAAAACAAAGCTGGATAGGGAGGACAGAAACCCTTAACGAGATTGTGGAGAAGGTCAAAGTCCTGGAAGAAAGTATCGAGAAGATAGGGAAAAGGCTTGGAATTCATGGAAATGACCAAGAAAACGGCTCTCCGGTTGGGGAACCCCGGAAACGAACACAGCAGGATGATATAGCCATGAGTGAAGTTGGCCCGCAACTGGGATTCCGGAGACAAGAGAAGAAACCACAAAAGGCTCCTCTACCAGTAATGCACAAAAGAAAGCGAAAAGGAGCCGACGATGATATCGTCTCTGGTGTTCGTAAGCAGGATGATGGAGCTTCTCCAATTACACATCATCAAAGTAAGAGAGGGTCCAAAAAGGAAGTGCCGAACTCACAGAGTGCGGATGAAGTGGAAGAGATCGACAATAATGATGGTGGCGAAGAGTACCAGGAGACTGGAGGGGACTGGCGGGAGGAAGAAGGGGACGAAGACGAGAAGGAAACGGAGAATCAAATAAAATCGCCGGCTGAAAAGCGGAGAAAAGCTATGAGAGTTCCCATCATAGATAAGAGGAAACCTACTGGAAGGAGAGTTCTACAAGGGAAAGCGCATAAGTAAATCCTCAGTAAAGTTGAGCTTGTAATGGGTATTATTACCAACGAGTGAAGTTCATTCTTCTTTAATTGAATCATTTATCCTTCTGTTGATTTAACCTAGGAATCTACATCCCTTATGAACAAACTTGGCTCTGATTAGAAAAATATTGCGACACAATGTGGTCACCCGAGCTACGGGATATATCTCAACAAGCTCGGTCGATATGTTTTCGTTGAATACGGCTATCAATATAGCTACCCCACGCCTAAAGCAACCCGAGACGGCTCCTCAAAGTCTGGCCGACCCCACTCAAGTATATTTACATGGAAGGCTACATCTTGCTGGTTAGCTCGTATAACTAGTATCTAACAGCGTCCACCCAACCCAGATCCCTTGATTTCCATGCCGATTGGTGTATTGAAAAGACAATCAGTTTTATAAAGAAATCATTCTATATGAGCTGGATGACTTATATATTATGATACCCTTAATCGTCATCAATCACTAGCGCAAAGCGACAGGTATATAAACATTCTTCGGGGCGCTCTATTAATTTAGTTCTTTAGAAAATGCTTCCAGATCCGTAGTAGCACTTCAAATCTGAAAAGGATGGCACGAGTCAACCGCAAAAATGAGGCCCTGACCAAATAATGATCGAACTAATATACTACACGGAGGAATGACCAACGAATTCAAAACAACCTCTTACGAGAATTATGGACCATCAGCTGACTCCAGAGTATATAATGAATTATCAATTAACAATAGGACGAGATTTGGTTGGAGAATAAATTATCAATCAATCAATCAGACATGTTGATTGGGGACAGTGTGCGAGTGACCACTTGTGATGGGGCCAAATAGCGAAGGCCCAAAGACAAATAAGAATGCCAAGCCGTTACTGCTTTGGTCTAGGGCCGGGGTAAAAATCTTTTGGGGGTATATCGAGCCTTCCCCGGGGAAAGCTTGGGTACAGACCAGGGGGGGAAATATTCCTGTATAATGTGATTCCAACCGCTGTAGGTATTATTTCGCGGCTTCGACAGACTTATGGAAGCGAGCGTGAATCGAACTTGTTTCTCAAGCTCTATTACACCGTAGCGAGAAGGTCTATTGGTTTCCTTGAATTAATTCAACACATGGGAAAACCTTTTCCCGTAGCGCAATCATAATATATCACTCTCACAAGCGCCAGATTTTATTGTTGTTTTGCTTATTTCATTGCCTGTATGCAGCCCGTAAGAAAATAGTGCAGGGTTTCTCCCATTGGGCATGGAATACCCCGACTGACATCTATGTTCAGCACGTTCACATTATTGTTGAAATTATTGGGTGCGAGCATGGGAGCAATTTCTAACTGCCAGGGGACAATCATGCCCTGGGAAGTCTATGTAAGACCATGGTTATGTATGTCAAGATAGAGCCATATTCCGTCTCTTTGACATGAATCTATGAGCACAAAAGGGCCTTTTTTTGTTTTTGTTTTTGTTTTTGTTTAATTGCAAAAGGCCTTGATATGCGCCTCTATATGATAGATAACGAAGAAAGGCAACATCTTCCGTGCATACTCTTTTATATTACAATATTTATGCTAGCGGCGATTGTACCCCATAATCTTTGTCTTCATAACTAGAAATCTTATCAGAGTATATTAAAATGCATACATCTACATAACAGAAGTCTCTTCACCGCTTCAACAAGAGGTTTACAGCCAAATTTTTAAGAAAATCCCGCTCCGCCTTACGATCGCGACCTAAAGCTCTACTTAGCTGGGATACAATAATTGGTGGTCCAGAATATTCACCTACCTTTAAATTTCTTGATTGATCTTTTCCTATCTTGGATTGACTCTATACACCGATAAGTATACAAATCTCCCATACATAACACCAACTAGGGGCCACTTACTAATCTCGTGTAGGAAAGTGACAACATGTGATACCAGAGATCGATATGCCGGATCTATCTTTGACGGGAATTTCACCATCTCCGTATGGCTCCGTCCAATAGGTATTCTAAACTCATTAGGAAATCCCATCTGTGCAGACACTCTCGTCACCATTTCTACTTCTTCCCCAAAGCGCCCATACACGCCCGATTCAGACTAGAGGAGAAAAAGTCAGAGCTCTCTATTTGTGTATCCCACATAGGAGAAGATAATCAAGTCACCTTCGCAACAGTTGGTGTTGTCTCCGTCTCATAGAAGCTAACAATCCCGATATTCGCCCACACATCAGCAAGGTGATCACGCTGTTCCTCTAACCAGTGCGACTGTGAGCTCTCTTTTAGTTGCGAGAGAAGATGGAGTCGTGTCGAATCCGAGTTCTTCTCTATGTCTTGTATCATGTCTTCTAGCTGCGAGACCTTAAGACCCTTATGTGGGGTTCCAAAAAATATAACGGCGTGGGTTGCGTCAAGGATATGTCGGCTATGTTGGATATTCTTCGAATGTACCAACGCCTGCCAGGAAAAGCTTAGTACTTTCTCATATAGTCTCTGGCGAAATTTCTCGTCAAACCTGTGCTATCAGAATACCACCTAAGCTGTGTCCAATGAAGATGATTGGTCTCGATTTTTTCTACTACAGGGTTAGTTGATCATTCACCTAGACAATTTATCATAAAGTGGCTGGCACCTCAGGTGAATCTCTCGAATTGGTCAATTGCTGGATGAAATGCCGCCGGTAATCCACCATCCCATCATCTACTGTATTCTCGATAAGCTTGGTATTATACCCATAGGTCATTATCCTAACTCGTCGAATATCAGGCTCAATCGGAAGGAAGTCCTGAAGCCACATCTTCTGTGTCTTCCGGCTCTTCCAAGAGCCATATGCATGCCCTGCAAGGCCTGTCACAGCAACGATACTAAGCGTACAAAATATCAACTCAAAGCTTGGTCTAATTATTCTCCAGAGGGGATGTCTTACTCAACGATATCCTGTTCCTCCTCTGGGGTGTTCAAAGGCGTCAAATCGTAAAAATGTGTGTCAATCTCGAACTGCACGCCCTTTTCACCAGCTACATGTTCCGGCACATCCACAAATACTGATTCATTCCCATTCTCCACCACAGGCTTGACGAGCTCCGGCGGTGGACCCTGCAGCTTCAGGTTCAGAACCGCGGTTTGACTCACGTCAGCGCCGGAGCAGGAGGGATAGAGTGAGGCGGTAAAGTTCTGGGGGTCGATGCCTTGAGAAGCGAGGTAATGGGCGAATTTGTCTTCGGCCCAGGATTTAGGGATGCCTTGGACTCGAAAAGATTTTATCCCTACAAAGGGTTTTTTCTGGGGCGGCGGGGATGGAGGTGTCGGTGGAGAGATATGTGCCTCTACTTTAACCTCTAGGGGAGGCGGGTCCATGGGTTCGGGGGTTGGCTCTTGGATCTCCTGAGGAGGTGGGGTCACATCATCGATGGGTTGTTCTTCTGCATCCTTTTGAGGAGGTAGGTCTACAGTTGTGATGTTATGTTCTTCTTCTTTTTCTTCAACTGTTCGAGGAGGAGGGTCATCAGGTTTGATACTAGCGTCGCCATCTTGTACTACCGCCTCTGTATCGACTGTAGTAGTTGTAGAGATATTCTCGGTAGTTTCTGGCTCCGTGCGTATTGGCTGCTCGGTTGCAATTATGGTAGACTGCTCTGTACTGGACCAAGGATTCCAATACAGTTCTGAATTCGACAAAGTCGAGAAATCCATAGTGCAATGGTGAAAATGATAATTAACTAGTTAGCTATGGCCGGTAGATGTTGTTACATATATAATATTACTGTATGAAGGCGGGGTCGACCAAGGCTACCTTCAACTCATTCCGTGTTGGCGTGCATGGCTTGTGTGGTGACACGGCGATTCTATTTGATTAGCATTGGGTCTGATCAGCGTTTCGAGGGCTGTTTCCTATTCACTGGGTAGTAACCATGCATGGCGGCGGGTAGATAGCGGGAGGCTACGAGATCGTAACCATACAACCAACCAGCAACTAACAACCGTTCCCAATAGGAATCACTACTCTAGACGTCAATCGTGCTGAAAAATCTGCGCCCACATAAGGGCGAGCTTGAATACGTAATGTAATGATTAATCCTTTTGCTATGTCGTTATTAGAAACAGCAGGCTCCCAAACTGTTATGCTGCTTAGCCTCTACAGAGTTTCACTCCTACTAGCTAGGAGTCCGTAATTCGTCTTGACCCCATTCACACATGAAACTAATCTACGATTGGTTATAACGTCAATACATGTATGATAGCATACTAACTAAAACTTTCATTAAGGCGGAGCACTAAGATACAGAGTGATGGATAGAAAAATCTTGAGGCCTGTTCACAGAATAATTTTGGTAAGTAAAGTATATGCTTAGACAGAGTGATAAAGATTTGTTGGGAGCGGACCTTAATGAATCTTCTAGTCCAGTCATTTGTCGGGTTTATATAACATGTGGATGCCCTAGCTTACTTCATGATATCACCAAGCTTTAGAACTACCCCTAAATAAACGTTTACCAATTGATTTTACTGATTTGATGTCCAATATTTAAGTCTTATCTAGTCCAAATTCATAAAATTAAGTACCATGATTTCACTCATTTCTAATAATACAGATTTTAGCCCACCATATCAATTTTTCCCCACCTACTTCACATCCATAAACCCAATACCCCACCTCGCAACTCTCACCGCCTCTTTCAACTGCTGCTCCTCAACATCAGTCCACTGGACAGTCAGCTCATCCCACTTTTTCGTCTTATACTGCTCCTTGAACTCCTTCTGCATCTCCAGAAGCCTTCTCATCTCCAGCGGGTCCCCAGTACCGGAGTACACAATGAACGCCGTGCATTTTGGCAGGGCATCCCAAATTCTCTTGACACATGCCGCTGTCTCTTTGACTGCGTCGGTAAGTCTCTCCGTACTCGCGGCTGTCGACACTGTACCTGTCCAGCCGCGAGCGCCCTCTAATGCACGTAACCGACCCCATACTAGGTGAGCAGGTTTGTTCTGTGAGTCGCCAGATACGCACGCTGCGATGCCTTCCACGACATCGTCGTCTGTGTTTGCGCTGATCGCCCTAGCAACACCTGGCCACTTCCTCTCGAGCCCTGTGCCGCCGTCGACTATGGCCCCGACCTTGGTATACACTGGGTATCTCTCTATTCTCTTAAAGATACTTTCTGTCACCGGCTCGCTGCTGCCAAAGTCTACCCCACGTTCAAGCTTCATCTTAAGCAGGTCAAGGCACGCTCGAGCGTCCTCAATGCTATCATGGCCCGACGGGCCACCGGTCTGGATCTCACGCTTGAGGTGTCGGGACGCCAGGGACTTGAGAGATGCTTTGAGTGGCGGCCCGCGTGGGTGTGTATATATGATAGACGTATCGACGATATGCGGGTGGGTATAGCGCATTGCGATGAGATCGTTGTTGAGCCCCTGGCCGACAAGGATGGTATCGTTGTTGAGTACACTCTTGAGGTGCGCCTGGACGTCGGCGAGGGTCGTAGTGACGTTAGCCAGCTTTTCGGGGGTCATACCGGAGAAGCGAGTCAGGTAGTCGGTGATTGGGAGTTTAGGCTTCACGAGGGTGTCATAGACGACGTCGCCGTCCCAGTCGAGGATGGAGATGCGAGTGAGTTCAGCGCCGGCAGCGGTTATACACATCTCGCAGTCGATGGCGTAGATGGTGAGGCCCTCTGTTACGGACCCTTTTTGGTTCTCGCGGGGTGTGCCGCGCGGGGTGAGGTCTGTCTCAGCCCAGCCAGTTTCTGCGCGAGTGGCTAGTAGTGCGATCTCCTCTTCGCTAGGTGGGTTGGTGCCCCGGCGCTGGGCCAATTGTGAAGAGTGCAGCGGGTACTGTTCGTCGATGAGCTGGTCAAGGGACATGAGGAGGCTTGAGACGGCGATGCGTTTTGAGGTACGATTGCTAGGTGGGTTGAAGCCTTTGGGTAGCGGGCTGTTGAGGAAGGAATTGACGGGGGAAATGAGGCGACCGCTACGCTCGTCGCCGCCAGCCTTGATGGGCCAGACGTGGTTGAACATTGTCGGAAACTCGGAGAGGCATGAAGCGAGCTTGTCGGCGGAGAGTTCAGTGGGCCAGAAGGGCATATTGACGTCGGGGGAGGGCTTGGGCACGACCTTTGACGCTGATTTGGGGTCGATGGACTTGATGGCCTTAGTGTCGTCTCGGGGGATGGGTTCGCCGATGTCTTCTGCGACGGAAACAGCGGAGGCAGCGGCGGATGGGTGTAGTAGTGGCGTGGTGAACATGTCGAGTGTAAGGCCTGGGACCATCAGCACTACGGCTCTACGGATCTCTGGTTTATTCTGTGCTTCATTATTAGTACCTGCGATCTCCCTACAAGAGCTATAAGGGCAGAACGTACTCGAACCATCAACCACTGCGGCGCGATGCCATCTGCCACCAACCAGAGCGCCAGGTTCTGTATATCGCTGATCTTGACTGCGCTCTTCAGTTTTTGCGGGCTCAGTCCCATCTCCGGATAATGCCTTCCCTTTGGCTCCTTCTTCGCCTTCTTCTGTTTTTTTTTCGCAGGCTCCCACTCGGTACCTTCTTGTTCGCCTCCGTCCTTTTCGGGTTCTGTGTGCGTGGTGGTGGGGCCGCAATTTGACGTGAGCTTGAAGTCGCCAAACTTCACGGGTGGAAGCTCTGGTGGTTCCTCCATGGGCAAGGTGGGGCCGGATGAAGGGTTGCTGGGTTGCTTACGCTTTTTGTTGCCTCGTCCCATGATCGCGCGACTCAATAATAGTTGCCTAGATTTGGTAGGGAGGGGGGGAAAGAGCTGGCTGCAGCTTTGTGTTCCTTCTGGGTTGGTGCTGCCTGAACCTTTGACGTCGTTGACACTGACTGACCTGGTGCATGAGCCTCAAATTTCAGTTACAGGGTTAGGGCTGGTGCATGGACGGTCACTCGGGTGGTGGGACCCTGAACGAACGTCACGGGTAGCGTGATTGGTCATGATGATAGCGCGAGACTGGAATTCGAGTGTATTTATGTGCATGCAGTTGCTCTACCGGCAGAGGAAGTGCTGAAACATCCTTTGGTTCTTTCACATGCTCTTAATCCTCTTATCCTAGGTGTGCTCTTTACATGTAATCACGCGATAATTCCAAGATACCAGGCATCTTTCTCGAGGATCTAATTCGTTTCGTTTCCCTATCTGCAAGCAAACATAAAACTACAGGGTATCACACCAGCCAAGAAAATATCTAGACAGACCAAACCCACAAAAGGGCGAAAGCAGGCAGCTAGTCGCCCCCGCCCCCCCCCCCAATACCGAACTAGTTCTGCTTCTCCACACGGGAGATATCCCAATTGTTCAGCACTCCAACGCCGGCCGTGATGTAGGTCGCGAAGCTCAACCATGCCAGATACGGTACCATCAGGTATGCCGACGTCGTATCCCATTGACTCCACAGTGCCGCCAGCGTCCCCACATTCGCTGTCAGCGCCACGATATCGGCCAGCGCCAGAGCAGGCTTCCTCAGCCCAAAGAACAACGGCATCCACACGAGGTTCAGCCCGAGCTGTGTGGTGTAGGCTGTTGTTCCGGCGAGGGCCAGGCTGCGGATGGAAGGGTCGGGGTGCGCGAGCCCGATGGTCGTCGCGCGGTACGCTGCATAGCCCATGGTGCCGTAAAGCACCGTCCAGACGGGGCCAAAAACCCAGGCGGGTGGACGCAGGGGGGGCTGCCGGATGGCAGCATAGACCTGCTTGGTCGCCTTTGCTGGAGGGGTGTTAGTAGCTACTCTACGGACGAAAATGAGGTTTGGATTGAAGCCATACGTCGGGTTGCGTATCCAATGGCTGAGCCGAGGGTTACTGGGAGGAGAATTGCAACTGCAGGGGAGCTAAAGACCTGCGAGGGAATGGTAATGGAGGGGACGTATGGAAAGAACGACATGGTAGTTGTCGAGGTATTCACTTGCAGTGTAGTGAAACAGAGCAGTACTGGGAGAGAGGGGAATGAATGGATGGAGGAATTGATTTGGTTATATATATACTTGTAGACTCTATATGGGCTCTGGGACAAACAGGAAAACGAGAGAACGATCAAACCAGATGCGCACTCGGAATAATCAGACGTGGGGATCGGACATGAGTTTGCAGGGCCCTGGGGTGACGTGCTGCTTCTCAAGCCACAGTGCACAGCATGAGCTGACCCTGTCATACCGTTGAAACTTTTCTCCGAAATAGTAATAGGTACAGCATTAGCCACGTCCCACTGCCATGTACTGAGGCGGAATTAGAATTAGGTGGAAGAGCACGTCTGTTTGATGATCTTCTCGTTTGGGGGTTGTGTCACTTGTGTGGGCCCTTGGTACTCCGTGGTGCGTGCGCGAGCTTTGTCTGCAGTTCTCCACACGCAGCAGAAGATTCACAGGACAACCTGTCAGCTCACATTTGTTACGCACCAAGTCTCATTTTCCATCTTCTTTCCCCCTTCCCTGATATTCTTACCCACACCACACCCATCATCCATCCTCTCACCCTCTCATCACCACCACCACCACCACCACCACAACCACCACCACACTCTTTCAACGCTCATCACAACAACCATCGCAGCCACATCCACTGCGCTATTCAATCCATTTACAGAATAGCAATCCTCATCGTTAGCCTCCCAAAATCTCTCTTCTTTCTGTTCGCATTTCTATATCTTTTCTTCTTCTCTTCTTCTCGTGTGTTACCTTTTTTTTCCTGCTCTTCTTCCTCTGATCTTCCACACATCCTACTTCTTCGCTACTCCCCCCTGTTTCTTCTTCCCCCCCCTTACCCACCTATTATCTCACCTACCCTCTCTTGATTAATCTCTTATCCCCACTTCGCTCGCATTTCCCTTCGCATTTGTTCCTCTCTTTTTGATCTTTTTTAACGGTTTCGGTCATGTCTCGGCACGTACACAGATCAAAGTCTTCGACCACAGCATTGTCGCGTTTCTCGCGTCCTACGACAACTAAGAATCCTCACAACGGCTGACCGCCGGGAGCCCTTTTCGTGACTACTAAAAATGTCGTTTTTAACCAACGACCGCTATGCTGGCGGCGATAGGGATAGGGATAGGAGCCGTGGTAGTCGGGATCGCTCCGCCATGGAGAGTGACTACGGTCGGTTAGCCGAGAGACCGGAGAGGTTAGATGGTGACTGGCCATATGGCAGTGGGAGAGGCAGGGGCAGGAGTCCTGGTGGGTTTCTTATTTCTCAATTTTCTTGCTTTCGCCAGAGTGATCGCATGCTGTCGTCCTAGCAACAAACCTGGCCTTCTGGAAACGCGGGTTAGGCGGGAATTTATTTTGGGGGAAATTGCTAACGGAGTTTTGCATAGTGCCCCCTCGTAATCGCCGTCGCTCTCGATCACCACCCCCGATGTTGACTGGAAACATCGACCGTTATGTTCCCCGTTCTCCTCAGCCCCGCCGCTCGCGTTCTCCTTCGCGCCCACGATTTGATCCCTATCCACACCATCCACCTGGAATGCCTCCAATCCCGGGGACCAAGCCTGGTACTATTGATCGATACGTTCCACCCCAGAGTATTGCTGCGAACCCAATGCTATTTGACCCACACAAATTGGACTACCAAGTAGCTTTCAATTATTTCTCCGATTGGTACCACCAGGAGAACCCAAGTGAACCTGGTAGTAACAGAAAAGAAGAGGTTAAACAAAAGTACGAGGAGTACAAGGAAGAGCTACAGGCGCGCCTTGCCAGGAGCTTTGTAAGTTCCCACAAGAATGACGAATGGTTCAAGGAACGCTATGTTGCCGGTGAGAAAGAGACTGTCAAGGAAAAGATTATAGCCTACCGGAAAGGTGCCTGGAGAAGGTGGAATGTTCTCTTTGAGAATGGGGCATTAGATGGTATCGACAGAGAAAGCGGCAACCACGCCTCAAAACAGGGCGATAATTCTGGCGCCGATCCTGGCGAAGAGATCGAAGAAGTAAATAGAGGAATTGAGGATGATGGTTTAAAGCCCGTTCTGTTGATCAAGACAATCAGCCCCACAGTCAGCAGGAAGCAACTAGAAGAGGTTTGTTCCACTTGCACTTGAATATCCGGTGACAAGTGCTGATATGACGAATGAATTTAGCTTTCTGCCAACAATCTGCCTAATTTTCAATTCGTCTCTCTGTCCGACCCCAACCCCTTGAAAAAGTTTCACCGCATTGGCTTCATTCTACTATCCCCCACTGATCCCAATGATCCCACTTCTGAACCTGCGACTGTTGACGAGTCTACCGTTGAGCTTCTGAATGGTAAAAGTATCCATGATGATACTCATGGTGACTTTATGTGCCATGTGGGAATTCACAATGGTCCCCCAAATGCTAGGACGAGAAAGGTTTTAAATGAGGCCATGAGCATGCCTGAAAACATCAAAAAGGAGGCTGAATTGGTCGAAAAATGCATTATCAAGTTCGAATCCGAACTTCGTTGTGACGAAAATGATATGAGTGGGTATGAGGGGTGGGAAATGATCAAAGACAAGGTGGACGAATATGGCCGTGGGGAAAGGGAAAAACGAGAAGGTAGCGAAGAAGAAGGCGAAGAGGGCGCTGAGGGAGAAGTCCAGCTCAAAATCCAGAAAAAGACCATTGATCTGGGCGTTGAGTACCTCCGCCGCGTATTCTCTTTCTGTATCTACTGCGTGTCTTCATCCGACTCCATACATGAACTCACCAGAAAGTGTCCTGGTGGGCATACTAGACGCCCCACCCCGTCCAGTGAGTATGTGCCGGAAACAAGGACAATCAATTGGACCAAAACATGGCAGGAAAAGCTGGAAATGTTTGTTAGTCCTCCCCACCCAGATGACGAGGACTACAGGGAAAGGCTCAAGAAAGTAGGGGGAAAGCCAATTGATGAGGCCGTGGAAGAAGAGATCATGAAAAGTATGAAACAGGAAGACGAAGGCAAGTACAGATGTAAAGTCGCGGGCTGCACAAAGTTATTCAAAGCCGAAGAATTCTGGAGAAAGCATTTGGATAAGAAACATTCAGAGTGGCTTCAAGGTGTTGAGGCTGAGGCTTCCCTGGTCAACAGTTACGTTCTCGACCCATGCCGCGTCCACCCTCCAAAGTTGGAACAGAATAGTCAAGGTGGATTCACGACAGTGCAAGGTGGTAGAGGAGGCTTCCCTATGCTTCCAATAGGAGGGTTTGGAGGTCCTGCTGCAGGCGCTTTCCAGCCACCAGCAAGTTTCAACTTCAACCCAGCATTCTTCCAGGGCCATCACAGCGCAGGTGACAAATACATACCCGGCCACCTTAACGGGGGTCCTGGTGGTGCTGGTCTTCCCTCGGATCCCCGCCGCGATGGAAACGGTGTAGGCCCTATGAGGAGAAGAGATAACCGCTTACCGCTTGGAGCTGGCAGTACTATATTGCCTGTCGGTGGCCCTCCTGGCAGAGAAAGATATGCGCCATATGCTGGTAGACGTGGCGGACCCACTGATAGGAATGATAGGGAGAGGGAGAGGGACAGAAGAGACAGAGATATGCGTGAGGTCCGACAAGGCACTGGCGGTCCTAGTGGGAGGTCAGGTTCAATTGGTGGCTCCACTGGACCCGAAGCCGAACTTGCAGTCTTAGGTAGAAGCGTCAAAAGTTACATGGATCTCGATGCGGCTGGTGGAGGGGAGAAGAAGTCAGTCGAGGAGTTGGATTACTAGAGAGCGCCCATATATAAGATATAACCCTTATACAATTGGCAATAGTTCACGGGACACTTATCATTTCGTCCATGGGGGTTTACTCAAGGCTTTTTTATTATTATTATCGGTTCTTGACTTCTGGTTTTCGTTTTTCAATTTATCTGTTCACCCCCCATTTCCTTTCTTCCTTTCTTTCCTTCTTCCTTTGTCCAAAGGACAAATTCTTTTTATAAATACTCCAGTATTTGCTATTCATACAAAAAAATGTGTACGGGGTAACTGGCGCGGGAAGAGTGGCTGGTATGGGGCAAGGGGATAGGCACGGTTAATGATGGTGGTTATCTATTTGTTATTCTTTCTCTCTCTTCGTGTTACGTTTCTTTTGTTGCTCTACCTTCGCTCCTATGTGTCTCGAGTTTTGAAAAGCTGCTGCTGATTTGTATCCTAGTTTTACTACCTTTGCAATTGATTTTCCTTACAATTATTACTAGTGGGTCATGGGTGATCAATCGTGTCTTGGCGTGTGGTGCTGGGGTCCTTCTCCCGTCAACCTTCATCCACGATAATCCCAAATCCACTCCAACAAACAGCTTGATCAGGTGCGATTTTTCTTGCCTGTACCATTATAAAAAAAACGTATGTCCATATGCACCTTACATATACCGCTCTGTGGTGAACCAATGTAGCCCACGTAAGCCGCCACACTTCGTTCTACATGCACGAATGTGTCATCATCTACACACATCTGCTTGCAATTGGATGGGCCTTAGGTAAGATAGGGAAGGCTGACCTTGAGCGGCGAGCGGCGGGGGTATAGTATATCAGCCCCGACTGCTTCTAGTATCAATTCTGCTGGGGGCTACGTGTAGCAGTCGAATATTCGGTCTTTACCCACTGCCAGTGTAGCTAATGCTCTGGTCGGTGGTCCAAGCCTGTTGGATCAAGACATATTTTGTGGTGTCTCTCGAAATTATATCAACAGGGGGCTTGGAAACTTGTTTACTGACAGTGGCTACTTGCCAGACGATTTTAACCTACCGTGGATCAAAATTGCGACCTATCTAGTCTAGTCTAGTCTAATCCCGTACTGCTGCTTGTTGGCGCCTGAAATTGATCATCGGGCTTGGATGCTGATTACCTCAACCTGCACATACGACAAAAATTTGGCAGGAAAAGAAAAAGAGAGGAAACAGGTTGTAGAAATAAATAAAGATACACGAATTAAGCTCCACTGCCCACACTCCCATCATCGCCCATTCCATTGAGTCATTAATAAAAGTGCCAATGTATTCTATTAGAGGAAAGAAAGTCCAGCCTTCTAACCTAGCCAGCCAACACTTGCCTCAACTGCAACAAAAAGTGCTCCTTCAGCTTCGGAACCTCCGTAACAACCGGTTTTTCGGGTTCGCCTGCTCTCCGCCTGAGGTGGTCCTGCTTCTTCTTCCGTTTCCTTCGCTCGGCCTCAATTGGGTCTGCCTGGTCGTCGCTTTCATTTTCATCGCCGGATAGTTCGTCGTCGTCGATGTTATTGAGGTCATCGAGATCACCCTGCGTGAAAGCCAGTCAGTATAAAATTACCACAACGGGGAAAGGTATTCAGGTACACACATCAGCAATGCCAAAATCACCAACGCTAAACTGGTTTTCGGGCCCAGTGGATAACCAAGCAGATTGGTCTTCACCGGCGGTGGCCATCTTCTGTCTCGTCTTGTCCTCGTGCCACTTTCTCCTTCTCGCCTGCCATTTGATCAACTGGTCTATCTCATCTTTGGCCTTAACGCCATCAACTACACCAGTCTCTATGGCGTGCCTCATCAACTCGTTCATGTCAAGTGCACCTCCTGAGGGACCCTTCCTTAGAAAACCAAGAATACCCTCAAGCCATCCCATAAGATTCTCAAACAATCCATCATCATGTATATGCACTTCATGAACAAACTTATAGAAATTGTTTTCATGCCTTGCGCAGAGGTCTATAAATGATTGCACGGTCTGATTCGGATCGCTAGACATGTCCTGATTCTGTGCTTTCTCCACGACTTTGATCATGTCATCGATGAATATTGAAAAATCGGTGACAGAGTTGTAGACATTTGCAGACTTGTAAACGCGAATGAGGGGCTCATAGAAGATCGTGAACAAATCTCTAAACAGCTGCAATGTTACTGGTTCTCCGATCATTTCTAGCATCATATTCTTATCGCGCTGGCGGGTATACAATTTGAGTAGCTGCTTGAGATGCGCAAATAGTTGTGCGGATGCTCTCATGTCATCCTGGACGTTTTCGACGGCGTTGTTCCATGCAACATAAGCATTGAACACCGTTTCAATCTGCTTTGATTCTAGCTCGGGCTGAATGTACTCGCTCCTGAGGATGGCAACGATGATATCTACGCGATCTGCTTCTGCATCTTCTCTAATTTGCTGTTTAACCTCCTCATCTGCCTCTGTGAACCCTTTTAACTTGGTACAGAAGACCGGATCGGCGATATCCAAAGTTAGCGAATCGATGCTTTTCTGCAACTGCTTGATACCGTCTCCTATCGCCATACTCAAAACTCTCTGCATCAATGATCTTGATCCAAAAGGTGTGGCTAAGAATAGATCAAGAACACCAGACATGACGGCAGCAGGATTGGCGATACGGATAACGTTTTTGAGAACAGTATAAGGAATCAGTGAGTGTATTCTCTTCCCTTGGGCAAAGAGTTCGCTGGAGTTGTCTTCGGCGAGAAATAGATGATATATTGTCGCCGCCACTTCGATACGGAGCCATTCAGCGAATTTTTTGTATTGGATAGAGAGGTCTGCAAGTTTATCCTTCTGCCTGATCTCCGCAAAAAGTTTTGTGAGACCATCTTTATGAAAAAAGCTCCATTAGTATTGCACGATATTTATAGAGAGTTCTAGATGGTGAGTGGGTAATTACTTGATTCAACGATTTCCCGTCTGAAACTTTCCATATAAACGTCTAACTCCCTCGCTCTTTGTCTTGCAATCTCATAGAACCGCCTCTGTTCTTCGATTCGGATATTATCCATCGCTCTCCTTCTTTCTTCATCGATTCTCTCCTCCGCATTCAACGTGATCGGGTTTTCAAGCAAAAACTTTGTTATTGCTCTACTCTTAGCAATCTGCTCGTCTCCCAGTAAAGCTCTCAGGAAAGCTCTTAATGATATTCTCTGGTTTTCGCGCCAAAGCTCTACAGGAGGGTGATCAAGAGAGCTTCGTGATGCATTTCGACTTTTACTAAGGCCAAGCGATGATCCTAGAGATGATCCAAGGGAATGTGAACGGGCATGTGATTTTGAAACGTTCCCGTTATTAGGGTGAGACTCGCCTGACGAAGATGTCAAACTTGAGTTGGAAGATATTGAGGAGCGGTCATCGCCTGTAGACTGGGAAAGATACGCGGATGCAGAGGAGCTTTGGGATTTGCGGGGAAGGGGTGGGAGGACTTTTCCTGGGATTTCTTGTCGCAACTATAGATCGTTAGCATCTAGCAGCAACTTCTCAAGAAATTGTTTACCTACTTCTTTGTGCAGCCGTACAAAAGCGCCGTATCTGCGACCTACTACAACATCAGGTTGGTTCACTCTTTTCGTGCGAAGAAGGAATTCCTATATAGCATCAAAATTAGCAGAGTTTTTTTTTTTGACTCTGGCGCGGAATATCCTACGCACAGCATGTATGTGATATCGAACGGTCCTCTTAACACTTATTTGCCTCACAGAAGCAATATTCACGTCCCACCCGTTAATCCAGTTTCCTTCTGGTACATTTATCAATAGACCGCCTTCATGAGCTGCTCTATCTGCTCCACCGGCTGCCTCAATCTCTTCGAATCCTACTCGTTCTTCATATCCAGAAGCTGTTGGAATACCAGAGTTCATCATTAGTTCAACAAGCTTCTCACATTTCAGGGCGAGTTTGCGACGTTTGGTTTCTTCGAGTCGATCTTCGGATGAGGAGATGCGTTTGTTTGCAAACGACTCAAGGAACTATACCATCATTAATTTTGTCAAATTTTGACCACCAGCAGCTCAATTTTTACTCACCACTTGCAGTCGATCTTGCCAAAACTCCTTCTCCTTCGCTTGATTGAGAAACGGAAATTTTCGAACATGGTGTACAAAAATATATCTGAGAATCGGCAGCTCACTATCCACGGGAGCAACCTCTCCAAGTGGTGATCTAAATGGGGCGCCGAAGCGCTGAAGCGCAGTTGGTGAGTTGAGCTCTGCAATCTCGAATCTAACCTGGGTGCCAATAAGCTCTCGCTTCAAATCTATCTCAGGTCAGCTGCGATGCGAAAGCGGGGTAAATAAGTAGGAACTGGAAACAAACAGTGCTCTTGTTTCCCCGTCAAAATATTATTCTTATTCCCTCCATCATTAATCGAGAGGCTAGAGATCTCGGGGTGTGCCATGGTGAACAATGATGCAGTTCCTTAACGGATTGTTGATGATGATGCTTGACTATATTGTACGCAATGAGATGTCGAAGCTTTGTGCGGCTGAAAGCACAGAAAGACAAAGCCACTTTTCTTTCTCCTCAAGTTGAATGGGTGAAGCGCGTAGATCGATGAAGGGTAAAGTAGAGTAGAATGGTTAGAGCAAGATCCCTCGCCCTGTATATCAACCTGACCTCTGTATGCTGGTGTTGGTTCTTTGACGAGCTCTTTATTTATTATTCTAACTTTTTCTATCGGGGATAGGTCGCTTCGTATGACGTATAGAAGGGTCTCGCCCTCACACGAAAAGAGCAAGACTGACTGCGCCTCCCGTAAGACGCGCACGCAACGCAACTGTGCATACATACATGACGATCCACGTCCATCCATCTACCCCTGCTTGATGCACACAAACAACCAGATGGAAATGTACTCTAAGTGCACCAACATCCAACAACAGGGTCGTCCCGGTTGACGGCCTAGATAACCTGGTACCGTATCAGATTGGGAAATGGGTCATTGGCATACAAATTTGGTTGTAGGTCTGACACAGTACTGTAAGAAAATAACTTGACTCTATAGACCATAGTTTACGCTCCCTCCACTCGTTGTAGAGAGTGTGCTAATATAGGAGATTTAAAACCAAGCCCGTGGTTCTATCAGCAAGGAAACGAAAGAAGATACGGGATTTTCTCCGCCCAATTATTCTAAACATCCCGCAGTCATCTTTTTTTGGCCAAAATTAAGACAACAAGGCGGCTTAGTTACTTTTCTCTTCACAGTCCGATATCGGAGTTTAAACCATACCAAGAGATACATACGTACCCTATTTTTCATCATTGGCATTGGCACTCATCACCTCGGAGTCTCGGCGGAAACATGTACAAGACTCTACCATTTGCTAATACCCGGCTTTGGACAAGGTAATAAAGTGCATGTATGTAAGGTATGCTGGCGCATATGCACCCCAAACCATGGTGAGGCGCTCCGCCTCCAAGGTTAAGGTAAATAGAACAAATGACCAGTTTATAGGTACATTAAAGTAGATATAGATGTGTCTAGGTTAACCATCAGACAAGCTGCATTGATGCCATTCCGGACGTTACCCATAAGTCGGACAGATCCTCATGGAATTACTTACCAGGGTAGAATACAGTATCCTACAGCAACCGTGACAAGTAAAGAAAACCCCTTCGAATACCTGGGGCGGGTAGATCTTTGTCAGGCAAGGTGATGCCAGATAGCCATTTGCCCGTATTGGGCATATCGTAGAGCAATCAAAGCTTGGTATATCGGTAGTGAATCGAAACTGTCCATGAAAGAGTATTACTGATACTCTACTCCCCGCGCCGCCGAACTTCCGCCAATCAGTCAGTCAAGCACAAACTGGTCTGTGCCGGACCTCCGGGAACGCCGCGTAAGCATGTCTCGGCAACGCTTGTAGACATACTTGTGAGTACGTAGAGTGCTCTGCCACGAGGATGAATACGAAGACTTATGCTTATTAGGACGTCGTCCTAGGCGCTAGGGTTGAATGTCTGCCTTGAAGCTTTTCCACAGCTTAGCGCGAATTATCTCAGCACTAACTATGGCGCATGTCGCCCTACATATTCATACAATATCACTCGATTGTGTTGCTATCGTTACCAAACTAGTACAGATGTGGGCACTGGTACATGTGGTTGGTACAAATTCTACTACTCCGCCTTCTTCTGATTGAACCAAATCCTTAATACTTGTCTAGTAAGTCCTCAATTTGATTTTTTATGAGCTTTTCGTAGGCGCGTTTCGAGTCATGTACCTAGGCTGCTCAGTAGCTAGCTTATTAGGGCCTAACGTTCCTCTGCTTTCGGAACATATTTGTTGGTCTTTTCCTGTTACGGAGGCGTGTTTTTGTTCTCGGCGCAGTCATTCTGTTTTCGGATATTTGAGCGCTAGCATCCTGTCCACAACCAAAACCAAAGTACAACCGGATGGGAGTCGAGAACACGGGCCGGTCTACAGCTAAAGAATGAGAGCTTTTTGAAGGCTTACAACAGAGGAAAATAGATGCTTCATGTAGAGGGAATACATACATATACATACTTGCGGCGAGAATAAGTTTCCGCCAAATTTGTACGTGAAAATGCGGTTGCAACAAAAAGTAGTGGCGGAAACTTATTCTCGCAGCAAGTACGTGTATGCATGTATTTTCCCTTTCTAAGGGTTTGGCAACATCTAAATCTAAAGCTACATGTAACTAAGCTTCCGGGACCCTCGCTCCTTTAATTCAAAACTAGGCTCTCGGTTTCATCCCACGATCACCGGTAAAATCCGCAGCAGCGCTATGGCCTCTTGGCAGTCGTTGCGTGGAAATTGGACGTTGTCGCTCTACTGGTTTATCGTACTCTACATACTCTCTCACTCGTCACTGCATTTCGTACACCCCACGACCTGTATCTATCTCTCGCAAGAATACACCTTAGCTTCATTGTGGTTCTACAGAGCCTTCTTTCCATGTCACTATGTGCCATATCGTGGTGGTTAGAATCGATATCAAGATTCCAACCCCTTGTTTGAGGTAACAAATTCTGGGGTTCTCCCTCCTGTAAGCGAAGGGGTATATGTACATATGCACTCTGGATGTTGGGCTGCATCCCACATCGCACGAGTTTAGGCTTTAGACTCGGCTCTCAGGGGGAACGACAGAAACTAGTCCTGGATAGGTGTTTTTTTGTTTTATTATTTTGATTTGAGTAGGTCTCGGGAATTCCCTGACGGTCCTTCGAAACCAGGAAGGAAAGAAGAAAAAGGAAAGAAAAAAAAAATCCATTTTGTTTTTTGCTTCTGGACGCGGCATACACGAATGCTTGAGGTATGTATATGTGTGTATCTAAAAATTATTGCCCAACCATCTTACTTGAAATACTGTACGATGCATTGTTCAAGGAGAGCAAATAGGTGATGGATTAATAGAAGTAGACCTCAGAATACACATGCATGCATGATCTGTGTATGCAAGCGGGGTTGATGGTGGGAGATGGAAGAGTTGGAGTTGGTTCCTGTCGCAGTTGGTACCTGCATGTATCTTGGAGAAGTGCAGCTTGGCAATACATGGGGATCTCCTCCACACTTTATCCCTAACCCTTGCCTTGGACATCACGGCTTCCTTACATCCATCTCACCTCCTCCTTCCTACTTCTAATCCCTCCTTTCCAAATTCTTTTCATCCCTTCATCGCCCCTCCTTCTTTACCCATTTCCCCTGCTCTCTTCTCCAACTGTTCACTTCTTCACTGCTTTGTGTGCTTGATTCTATCGCACTCGCTCATCCCTTCAGCTGGTCTGTCTTGACAATCGCGGCTTTGCAGCTTATTATAAAAACAATTTTGCTGAAGCCCCTGTCTGGTTTCTCATCTCATCCTTTGATCACTTTCCAAGGCGTTGGAATACTTTATATTCTTAAGCAATAAACCAAAATCAGCTATCATTCAGTGAGAGTACTGTTTTCCAAAAGATTATCATCTCATCATGTCTCTCCAACAAGTCTACACGAGGTTTCTAGCCTCTCCTGACTCAAAGGCGCTGTTTGAGTCTCCATCGATGCATTTCATCACAACTCTCATCACTATCAATTCAACTGAAGAGATATTAAAATACCTCACTCGCGAGCCTACCTTTCTCAAGAAGCGCATCGAAAAGCCGCTCTCTGCTATCGAGAACAGTGATTCGCTAGTTTTGGAAATGGAGACGGAAATGGAATTCATCAGTAGTGGGGGTAACTATCTACCTGCGTTGGATGATAATTTCTTGGCCGACCAGGTCGTTATGGTGCCAATTGTACGTTGCCCCATGTTTCATAATGATTATTTAAGTGTGAGCCGATTGCGTAGATGTCTTGCGACTAGAGGTGTCAAAGCATCGTGCACTGACATGGGGGCTAATATCTGTGCTTTATGTTAGATCCACATCGTCAACTTTGAAGATGGGCTTATCAAGCAGATCCGTCTTTACTGGGATCAGTCATGCCTTCTAAAGCAGATTGGCGTTATTGGCCGTAACGGGCGCAACTGGCCCATCAAAGACGGTCGCGACCAGTGCAAGCTCGTGGGAACCTCAGTGGTCGGTACTACAAATGCTCCTGGCGCACCTAAACCTGCTCCTGTCGCTGTGCAGAACGGGAACGGCAATAGGACACGCGCCGGAACAAGGAAAAGTTCAGCTTCCTCCGTTGCAAGCAGCACAACCACAAACCCGACAAGAGATCCTCATCGTAGTTTGTCGCTTTTCACTCCTCAGGAGGACGATACAGAGAGAATTAAGGGCCCAGCAATTGCTCCTCGCGGCTCTGCGAAACCTCCAAGCCGTGATCTTGTCGAAATCATCGGCACCAACGAGAACGGCGAGCCGATCCAGAAACAGCCTGAAACATTTATCGCTCGTAAAGGAAATAATGGATTCGCCGCGCAGCGTACCTTTGAGATCGGTAGCGAAAACGATAAAACACCTAAGAATGTAGAACGCACCGTTAATCTCGACCCGAAAAAGTACCATCATTTTGAGTTCACCGATGAACCCGAAGAAAGAGCATTACCTGCTCAAGCCGCATTGACGAAGCAATCAAAACATTCGTCTACATGGGGCTTTGAGGATTTCACTACTCCCGAGAAAAGGCCGTTGAAGCATCGCAAGGACGACGAGAGGCACTTTGGATGGAGTGATGATGAAGAGAAGCCAGAGCCAACCAAACTCCCAAAAAAGATGGTTCCCCGCAAAGATTCCGAAACACATTTCTCGATCAAAGATACAGATACCCCCGAAACCGTCGCGAAAATGAAGCCAGCCGGAATCGGCCGTCCTGGTGTCAATTCCCATTTCGAGATCGCCGATGAGTCCCCAGCAGGGTCCCGCGTCAAGAGGCCAACCCAAGGGAAAGCCGCACTCAATAATATTTCGGGGCACTGGGGCGAGAATGATAGTCCCAGCGGCGGCTTCTTTGAAGCGTTTGGGAAAGAGCAGGCTACGGGGGGGATCAACATCGCTGGTGATGGTATTGGAACACGTAAATCCCAAGGTCGGGAGTGGAACTACGATGACGAAGTTCCCGACCAGCGGGTACAGGCGATCGATCTTCCAATCCGCACTACTAGAAGCCAAACTCAATCAGCGAATGATAATAATATCTGGGGTTATTAATGGGCCGCTCTGAGGAAGGTGTAAGGGGGATGCTTAACGTCTATTGAAATGCTATAATGCTATGGAGAGTAAATTACCCTTGTGGTTTTTGGTTGTCATAACGATACCTAAAGCCGGGGCTTTCTGGTGTTTTTGAGCTTGTATTTCTGTGTGCCGGCTGTATATGGTCTTTTCTTTTCTCCACTCTGAAAGATTGGGAGTCTTTTGGGGGATATTCTTGAATATTCCTGCAGCGCTGATATCACCAACCTATTCTTTTGTTCAAGTTTATTTTTATATTATACTTAGGCTTTGAAGCCAAAAGGTATCATCAGGGGTTGAGAACGGCATTTGGGATCCGGATAGGAGTTTTCTACAGCATTTTTTGTCATTTGGAGCGCCTGGTTGTGTCGATTTTATCTTAACAGTTTTATTCCTACCTTAACTATGCACTTACTCTTGTTTACATCCTTCCTTCACGGAACTATACAATGTTCTTCTTTGTTTTGTGAAGTGTAGCTAGCTGCCTATGTAGTTAGTCTCTCGAGGTGATTAGATTTGTTTGATTTGATATCAATAAGAAACTACGTGGTTTTTATGCTCCCGTTCCAAGCGAACTTGTAGCTTGAACTTGTGAACACGCCTTACAGTGACTCGATTTATGTAGTATACTACACTTCGAGATGAAGGAGTAGCCATGGTTTCATAATAGATATGCACTAAAGGCAGGGATGGTTTGAATCCTTTTGGAGGTCAACTGTCTGAGTAGAAATTTATGGATAATGATTTATGCTAGGTGTCTGGATACTCTTCTGATCTTGATTCGTACGGTATACCCGTAAATCCATCGACCGATGTTTATAGCGAAAGGCAAGCCATCAAGTAGGCCTGACCAATTGAAACTAAGTTTTTAGCTATTCGAGTGATACTTTATGATTAAGTTACAGAAGAATTGGGAGATTGTTGATTTAATGCTGTTTCGGGGGAAGATCGTATTTTAAAGGGGTTGAGAATTGTATTGGATGTAATTGTACTAGGCATATGCATTAACCTCTCAATAACCCCGACACCATAGAATAATTTACCTGCGATCATCCTGACCATGACCAGCCTTAATTAGCTTGAGGGTAAAGGGAATATCTCAACTCATAGCTATGAAACCATACAACTAAAGTCAAGGACCATAATATTCTAACGGGGAAATTAAGGTTATTGAAAACTGGTATTAAAGGGTTTAGGTAGGCCATGATAGTATCAGTAAATTATAAATGTGGGTTAGAGATTTAGGGGTCGGAAACGTTTTTATAAAATATCTCACATGGTCTGTATGTAATTTGTTCCCCAGATATGGCATTGGTCTAATAAAAATATGGGACCGATGATACCTCTAGCTTTCCCTTTGGAATCTTATATGTAGCAGATACCGAAATGCTTTCCTGTCGTTAGTTTGTTGTATCTTGTCCCATACACAAAGAAATATGGCCCCCTGGTCACGCTTATCTATCTGTATAGAAGACCTGTGAGCTTCTCGAAGTTGAAAACAAGAAAAAGAGGCTCGCCATATCTATGAGAAACACCAACAAGTGATAGTGTATGATTCACTCCACTTGGAAGCCTTTCCCAAACCCACGCTTCGATCGAGAAGGGTGCCAAAGCTGATTGTTCTTTCTAATTTATATATGAATCAGTTCCAAGAGGAAATGGTGTTTCGGAAATATAGGAGCCGGCGGGTATGTGTATTCTCATGAATTTAGTATTTACCTGTTAATTAACGTTCCCATCTTGGCACATAACTGCCCACTCGCGATCAATCTGTCTGACCCAAGACAATCAAGACGAAGGCGGGACAAAGCCAAGGCTCGACCTCATGAAGATCATTACATGCAATTGTATTATGTACGGGACACCAACTTCCATATTTGGATTGGATGGGTGCTAGCCCCTTTACTCGACATATATGTGTAAGCCCTCAGAAGATTTATAAGCCTTGCGCGTCAAGAAATGATTCGCATGATGAAGAATAACGGCCCGAGTTAGAATAGTGATCGCGCATGGAGTCCCAAATGCAATTTCCATGGATCTTTCCTTCCTTTGTTCCAACAGCGGCTAAAAGGATCTTTACCCTCACACTCTAGCTGCATTAGAATGTATTAAGGTTTATGGAAACAATTCTCTGCTACATGGTGTCCATAGCGTTTCATATATATACGTAAGTGCTTCGTGATAGGAGGAAATAGTTCAATGGAATTAATAGGCACTATGGCATACGCCACTTGAGTTGAGGGTAAAATGCATGTACGTGTATACATGTAGGCACCCATCATGTCTTTCGTCAGCGGTCGGGCCATAGAAGAGGTAGCTGGATCCACGATGCAGGGAGTCGATGCCACACACGCCTGATAGTAGCGTCTATCACGTCCTGACATGTGGTAAGAGCTAGAGAACTCAATTCCAACCACTATTATAGTTTGACCATTGTTAACATGTTGAAAACGTCATCAATCTCTATAGATCCAACTACATGTACCTTTCTGTAACGAGCCGCCTAAAATCTGCAATCTACATTTTCATCTTCACTCTCAGCTGCGGCGAGTTTATTTACCTCTAGGGTCTCATTCATATGACTACAAACTCTTGAGAACAGACACAATGTCAATATCGACCAGCCCCTAGAGGCAGACGTCTGGGGCTATGCATGTGATTGGGAAACTACAAATTGTTGTCAGTCAAAGCCCATATCACGTACTTATTAATCTTCGAAACCCTCAACCAGTGTTGTCTAGTCTGCCATCCCGGGAATTCAAGACACTCGATTAAAAATTCGCGATCGGGCATTGTAGCACCAAACAACTGGTTAACAGCTCCCGGGTTCTTTTTCGCCTATAGTATTTGTTTTATTTTTACCTCTTTCCCTCTACTTCTACCCAAAAATAGTACGCTGCTGCAACTGGTAACTAAGCCACACCTCGCCGGAATCAAGCCTGCATAGGTACTCTGGATAGGGCTGTAACTATGCATCGGCCAAACTAAATTCCCTGTATTCTTATTCGATACAAGCTCTCATACATGAGGAACAGCTACAGCTTTATGTAAGCACACATTCCTTCATGAAGATTGATGGACTTCATTCGTGCGGAATATCGGCACCTCGGGAAATACAGCGATCACACTTGAGCAAAGGAGTGAAAGGAATGAACATGCCTTATATCTATGTTTTCTCCAGGATTCAGGAACTGAATATCCGTGATTATTGCAATCGTCGTACTCTGAGCTCAATAACATACCCGCCAATCTTGTACCAATCGTTCGGGCTATCACGCGATCAGTTTGTTGTCCGAACGGACGAAAGTTTGCGGCAAAGCCGGTGAACCGGGTGTTGCATTTTGGTACCTACAGCGATGGGGAAAATTATTGTAGAAACAGGGGTCTAAAAACAGGGTTTAGGTGGCTGCCCTGGCCAATAGGACTCTTACCATACTTCTACAATAATTTTCCCCATCGCTGTACAAATGTGCCTCAGCGGACCATCCTTCTTCTAGCAGTGACTAGCACTGAGGAGGAAAATTCGGCTAAGTCAGTCCAATAAGCAGCGTGGGGTGTGTGCTTTTAGGATTAGGAACTAACTGTATACATATACCTATTTCTAAACGGTAGGGATTATCTAATTTATTTATCAATGGCTCTTTCTCTCTCTCTCTCTCATTTCTTGTCTCAATAATGAGACCCCCATGTTTGGTTTGGGGGTACCTATGGATCAATTAAGTTGGCCGAACCCTTAAGGGCACTTGCGTGCCACACACCTACATGAAGTTACCCACCGAAAAGATTCAGGCGATTAATTGGCGCCTGCGGGAAAGATTTTGGTGGCAAGTGCTAGGAAGTGGTACCTACGTACTGGTACATATGTGTATTTGCATAGCATGTATGTAGGTAAATACATTAAACTTTACTACGATCTCTTATAATTATGACTTGGCAAGATTTGCTGCTGATTTTATAACTTCAACCTTGTGCCTTATAGCGGGAGTAAACCGACTAGACATAAGCATCGTCGAACAGGAAATATCGGTACATGTAATTATCTATCGTGTTTAAACTTTTCGTGCTCAGCAGTCATCACTGCATAAACCCGTCCTAGACTAAGTGTGAGCATACCTAGACTTTCTATGCGGTCAATTCACCCCGCAGATGGAAAGCTAGGAGAATAGAGAATTTTCCTGCTTAGGCGCGTAGATGTGCCACGTTATGGTTCACTCCGCTGGACCAGCTTCGTGGCATTGAATATGTGCTCGAGGTAGAGCAGGTATGTGCTTTGAATCTCAATCCAGAAATCGGGAGTGTGGTCAACTTTAGACAAATTTGGGAACTGAACTAATGAATATGGGGGTCTATAGACATGATTCTCGGCAAGGTATTGTCGTTTGAGAAGAGAAAGGTGAGCTTCTCACAAGTACTCACATACACCTTGTAGCTGCATAATCAATTGCAATGTCACGAACAGATCTGCAGAGAACTGACAGTCTTAAGCGCATCGGTAACACTGCCAGTGGCATATATGCATAGCCGGTAACACTGCCATAGCTACATGTGCTCTAGGACCGACGTGCGGGGATAAATGCGTCGTCTCGAGGCCGGCTCTATCCGTCAAGAGACTTGATTTTCGGATTACATAATCAAATAACACACAACAAGCATACTGCACCTGAGCCGCTTCTAATTTGTGCATGTCTATTGGGTATCGTGAAACGGCCCTATTTAGAAACAGTCTTTTCGTCACGCTTACCTTAAGGGGGTTCCCCATACTTCTCGCTAATTGTTTGCGCCAAATCAAGCCATAGGGCAATAGGCTTAAAGGAATGAATTGAGAGAATTCTACCTTTAACATCAGGTACTACTTTAGGTGTACCTACATGTACATAGGTGCTCTGCTCTAGGTAACTACATGTAGGTACAGCTTTAAGTCAGATCGGTATGCACAATCGCATGTCATCTAACACATGAAACGGCGCTTAAGGATCTGTCGCTGACTCTATTGTCTTAGGTCTGTACCTACTGGTTGAGCACAAATGTCGATATCTACCTAGAAACTTGAGGCTTGAGGTTGTAGAAAAAGGAAATGTGCACATCCTGCACCTTTCAGCCCCCAACCCCCTATCACAACCGATGGAGCGTCCTACGGGCGGGACGGACTCAAACATACCTGACCAGGGGAAGCCACTCAGAATACTCTACAATGACCCGGGGACTGGAGTACCCAGTAGGTACTCTGCCTCCCTGCATGTTGATCCCTACCATAGCCTACTCTATATTACCCTTCCCTCCCCTCCCCAAGAGATAATATGACCCTTTTCCCTTTCTTCTTAATCACCACTTCCCCCCACTAACAAGTGTCTCTCTGTTTTGGACCTGGGCTTATTGATAGACAAAGATAATAATGGCGAACGTGATGGGATACAACCGCGTGTTTGCGCTACTGGTTTTGGTTCTCAGCAGTGTCTGTGTTTTGACCAATGCCGCAGCGACTCCTATACCTGCTACTGTATTGGAAAAGAGGGCCGGCGAGAAGATACAGGTCTTTGATCTCGAGAATATCTGTAGGATATCAGGGGCTACAAGTAAGTGGAATTGGTGGTTCTTTTTCTCCTCGCTTTTATTTCGTTGATATTATACACAACTTATTATAACAATTGATCGACACCGGGCTAATGATTGAATTTGTGCTTTTCTAGGTGTAATGATAAATAATACAATGTGGATCAACGGAGGAGACATAAACGTATGCTATTCGTCTACAAATTGCACCACCTGGACCGATATTAGTGAGTTTTCTTTGGTCCCCTCTTGTCACTACTATAATCATTACTAGTATCGGCTTTTTTTCCATCTTGTTTTTTTTTTTTTTTTCACAATTCCTAACCTATTTCACTTGACAGGCAACTACCTAATTGCAGTCTCCTTCGACAGAGCCTACACCAGTGTCCAGCTCCCTAATGTCGAATACAAAGCCTTCCTCAAGCCGCGCGATGTTCCCGTCTCTACCCGCGGCGTCCTCTGGCGTAACGGCGACGGCACCAAGCTCTACCAATTCGCCGGCCGCATCACAAACAACGGTACGTCCGCGATCCAGAACAAAACCGCCGACCCCAACCAGTTTTGGAGCTACGACATCGCATCGGACACCTGGCAATACCTTTCCCAGTCTCTGTCCCCCTCGTGGGATCTCTATCAAGTCAGCATTCCGGAGCAGGATACGGCCTTTTCGTTTGGGTCGTGGGGAGGGCTGCCGTATCAGTGGAGAAGTAGCATGATACAGTTGGATGGTGCGCAGAGTTTGGATGCGAGGTTGGAGACGACGGATATCCCGATGGATGATAACGATAGGGGCGCTATGATGCACCTGGATATTCCTGGGAAGGATAAGGGTCTGCTGCTGCTTACTGGGGGCCATCATGCTACGGAGGCTGGTGATCAACCTGATGTGAGTATTTACTTCCTCCTACCCCGGAACGGATCGGGACGGATTGTTGGTTTTCGGCAGCTAATTCAAAGTTTTATATAGACTTCATTAGAATTTGTGCGCCTGTACGATATTGAGACCAAAACATGGTATAACCAGAGCACAAGCACCGATGGCCCAGACGGAGCATACCCAAACCCACGGCACAACTACTGCGCCCAGGTTGTCTCCAAAAGCGACAGGTCCTGGGACATCTTCATGTACGGCGGCGACTACAGCGACGTCTACAACAAAAACACGCTGAACGGGCTCTGGATCCTCTCAATACCCACTTTCCGCTGGTTCTACTTTACAAACCCCAATTCGGCCGTCCCACAGTCCGGCACCACCTGCCAGGCCATCGGCTCCCACTTTATCGTCTTTGGAGGCTGGAACTACTGGAACGTGTCGCCCGTGTCGGGGCCAAACTGCACAGAATCCTTCAAGGTCTTTGACCTCAACAAGTGGCAATGGACAGACAGCTTCGACCCCAATGCAAACCTCTACGACGCTCCTACTAAAGTCGCCGAATGGAAGAACGCAAACAAGGCCCCAGTCAGCGGCTGGGACACGGGCGTGCAGGCGCTCTTTGCCGGCATGAACGCCTCATCAGTCACCACCGCGTCCGCCTCCACAACACCATCCGGATCCGCGTCAGCAGCACCGGCAGCCGAAGAATCACCGGGCTCAAAGCTCGGACCGATCCTGGGCGGCGTGCTGGGAGGCCTTGTGGGCGTTGGCGCGGTCCTTGTCGGAATCCTCTTCCTCATCAAGAGAAAGAAGCAAAAGGCCGCAGAGGATCGCCACGAGATTGGCGACGAGTCGAAGATTTATGTCGAGATGCCGGCGCCGTATATTCAGCAGGAGCCGCCGTCAGAATTGCCGGCGGGGGATATGGGCCATTATGCGCCGTCGGGGCCGCCGCCGGGTGAGATGCCGCCGAATCCGGCGAAGATTAGTGGAGATGCGGCGAGGTAGAGCGGCTACATAATATAGGTAGGATGCCTTCTTACCCGCGCTGGGGTCGAGGGGGGGGAGAGGGGCTAATGTACGATATGTTTGTGTCTGGGTCTGTTTTGAGGGAAGGGTGTTATATATCATGGTTTCAATGTACTGTACTTACACTTTATATTCTTTTCTTTTTCTTTTTTCGTCCTGGCTGTATGCGTATGTATGGTAGATATTGCATGAGCCGGAGTATAGGAGCCCTTAGTCTTGAGAGCTCTATTTTTTTTCCTTTCTTCATCTCTTGATTTACCGGGGATTAGTTTTGGGATGCTCTAGTACGTACAGTTAAATGTACTTGTTAATGAATTCAGCGAGTAGAAGAACCTGCTCCTGCCTGGCCTGTCATATCAATGCTTCTCTATGTCCATGCCTAGACCCATCCCAATGCCACCCCATCCCATCCCATGTTGAAACACACCCCAGAAACCCAGGCTCGGGAGCTAGCAGCAACCATGGTAACTACATGTAGCCCCCGCTCCCTCCCGGATGTCAAGAAACTTATTTTTTGCACATGCATGCAGGGGACAGCGGGATAAGCTTTTTGATAAGAGAGGCTTGGCGGAATCCGGTGAGATGGCGAGGGTGGAGGGTGGAGGGTGGTCCGGTGTTGGTTATTTTGGCGGGGGAGAGGTATCTGGGTGGGCGGGCTACGTGTACCTGATGGAAGAGATATAGAGGACGGGTGGCCTCTGCGTGTTACGGATAGGCCGGCGTTGGCCCGGGCCCGGGGCCGGGCGAGATCCACGCACTACTGCTCTCGTAGCTACATCTAGAAGCTAGAGAAGGCTATTTCACCGGCGTCAGCATCCGTGGCTATCCTATCCCCAAATACGAAGCCGGTTGGTATCTGTGGTAAGGTTCGAGGAATAGTTACATGTATGTAGCTATGTGGGTGATGCGGTGGCGGCGGTGGCGGTGGAGCTGAGCTAGAGTTTATGCTGCTGTATCTGGTATGTGAGTTGGACCTCTGAGCTCCGCAGTGTGTTTTGTAAGCCCATATCTCAGTGCTTACATGTAGTTAGAGGCATTGCATGGTGGAAATTATCACGGGAGTGCTAGTGTCGAAGTAAAGAGGAGAGATGATCATGAGGTGTATTAGAACCTTAATTGGGGAGGAGGGGAAGAATGGATGCGGAAGGTGGATCAAAGTGGGGGGGACTTTGTAAGTGTTATTTTCCTTACTAGGATGATCTTCTTAGAAGTGGATCCAGGCTTTAATTTCGATGATGAAGGAAAGGCTCCGTTTTCATAGCATCCTGCTTGACGTGTGGAAAGATGTTTGGTCAGTGTGGGTTTCATCATGGGTTATCACTCGCGCTAAAAAAAATCGTTGACGTCGCTGCTCTGGCTGTTGTGTGGTGTTTCCTGGGCGTGGACGTTGCAGCTGTCTCCTTGGTCTACATATTTCTACCTCAGGTTGAGATATCACTGGTGTTTCCCATGAGTGCGAGCGATGAGCTGCTGATGTTTGGTGAGTAACGAGGAGTCATTGAAACCTCTGGATAGCGGGGGCAAAAGCGTAGGGAACATTTTCTAGGGGGCCGCGCTCGCTGCGGGCAGATTTGTCTACCTGAGGCAGAGCGTACAAGTGTGGAGTGGGTTTGATGTCCTGAGGTTCTAGAGCTGGGAATGGCGAATCTTTACCCTTATAATTGGTCAATGAAGTCGCTAACAGACCTACTAATATTCCGCGCTTTGATTTTCACGTACAGATATTCTGCTTGTTAGACGGCCTCGACCCCGATTGTCGGGATCGCGTTCGGCGAATGAGCGGAAGAGATGTCGTGCGTGTATCAAACCTTTAGACAGTGGGGGGGCTATGGCTGGTGAGACTGTAGATTCGTGAGTTGGCCTGGTTTTTCGTCACTCGACGATATCGCAAATCCGCTCCTATCTTTGTTTGTGGAATTAGTGAGTCAATAGCAGTAAACTACATATATATATCACTTACCACTAGGTCTACGATTTTTCCACCCACAGCTCTACTGCTTGTTTAATGCCATGCTCTCGGTTAACTAACGGCGAGAGCAGGAGACTAAACAGGTTGGAGAGATGCCGTGTACCACATCCATCAAACCTTTGGAGGGGGCGGGGGATAAGTGTTGATGGTGAAAGGGAGAAGGAAGAAGATTAGACATGGGGCGGTGGGAGACTATGTATCAATGCTACATTGTGCCAAGATAATATTCCAAGGGCTGGCCCGCAGGGCGTAGGTACATGTAAATACATACAGGCTTATGGTCGTCCACATAGTATGGTCTCACTCATCATGAGACGTCACTCGCGCCAAGAAGTCACTGACTGCTGTGTCTGTCCTGACTGCTGTGTCTGTCCTGACTGCTGTGTCTGTCCTGACTGCTGTGTCTGTCCTGACTGTGTGCATTAGCTGCTGTAGTATTATCCCTGTAACCCTAGATTACGACAGTTGATGGTTTATGATCTAAATAATAACACTCCTCATCGGTTGATTTATTTCACCAGGACTGCACAAAGAACCACTCCCCAGTTCGGAAGGGATGCAACATATGTATAGTATCTTTGGATAAAGGAAGCCGGTTATCAAAATTTCTACTTATTAATTACATCCCTCTAAAAGATATTTTACTCTCTTATCAACTCTGATCAATCTTTGGGGAATATACAGATCTCTCTAGTGCGGAATGGGCAAACCCTCAACCGACCCAAAGTCAGAGTAAAAATAGGCGAGGAAATGCATCAGAACAGAACTGTGGTAAGCTCTGGAATTCATTTTACTCACTACATGCATATTTGCGGCCAGAGGCAGCACTCCACCTGTATGTATTCTTATAGCGAGATTATACTGCAGTACTAGTAGTAGACGCATGTGTAAATTTCAGCAAAAGTACTGTGCCCCGTACTGCACTACTCCCACCATCTATTTGAACCCAGGTCCTAGGGATCAAATACTCGGTGTCTTGCCTGACGAGCAGTCTCAATATACTACCCACTAGACCACTCGCCGATGCTTTGCAATCGTAGGAAATAATACTTGGGGGGGCGGCTGGTGCGGAGACTATTGGGGAGTACAGCCTTGGTGGTTATCAGTACAGTCGAATCTCCCTATAAGAGTATACTCATGGCTGGAAATAGTACCTTATATGGCCGGGGTATACGTATAGCTCTTTGTTGAGAAGTATCAAGCGAAGGATCCGCAGGCCCGCATCATGTACTTACCGCGTGCATTTAATACTAGCATGCGTGAACCACGAAAATTACGAAATTAAAAGCAAATAGAACAACCATAAGAGCTGACTGATATCATCCAGAGCTAAGCTAATACTGGACTACGTTGGTAACCGTAACTAACCAAGTTGTAGACCACAAAACATAAAGAATCGTTTTTGAAAATCAACGACGTGCATGTGCTCATACTGACGACAGGTACCTTGCTAAAAGCGCGGAAACAAAAAAATAAGTATAATAAGCGCATCACCATCGACGCATCTCGCCTAGCCAACGGGAAGAGAAGAAAAGGACCGGCCTCAACACCCCTCAATGAGTTTACCGTCCACCGGGATAGGCTTGAGAAATCGAGTGAGGAGCTGTGAATCAATATTTTACGAAAATTGAGTTCTCATCCCGGCCCTTGATCAAGTGATTGAGTATAATCCTCGCAGCAAACGTCTGTTTTGACTAGTTATGTAGTTAACTCTTTCGTTTAACCAGCCTTATATCTGTGTCCTAAAATGACTACCCGCCCGGGCCCCAGGGTTTCTTCACGAAGAAAAACTGATACCGAAAGTATTTGGTGTCAAGTTTCTCAATTGAGGCAAGAGTCTCAAGGTGACAATTGCTTCTATATATCTAGGTACCGCATAAAGTCTCGAGATCACAGGTCACGGGTTTCAACCACGCACCAAATAATTATATAATGAGGTCTTGCAACACCCAATCAAATTCAGGGCTACGGTTTGCATGTAAAATATTGAATTGACATAAGTACCTAAATTGAAAAATCTCAATTTTTGAATATCCCAGGCGGCGGCGTGGTAGTCATTGCCTGAAGTGTCAATGACTTATGGGCCACGATCTCGTCGTCTATTGAATCACAAATATGCCAGACCATATAATCCCCAACCTCAAACCTTTTCGGCTTCTGCTGGCTCATCTCCTGGCGAATCTTACGGATCTCCCTGATCTCTCGCTTCTTCATTATACGGAGACCGACGCATGTTCCGATAATCAGAACCAACTGGAACGCGACAATAGCCCAAAACACTATATATGCTTGCCCAGAGGGACTCTTGCCTAATGGCTAGTCAGTATATTTTGAAAGACGGGAATTAGGTCAACAGGGAGTTAGACTAACTGAGGGGAAGGTCGGTATAAGTATCGATGTGCCTCGCAGCAAGGGTATTGGGAGCGGCACCGCGATGCGAGCCCCATATGTCTGTAAGGAAACTGTGGGCAGATGCGAAGATGGAAGAGGCGTCTTCGGTGCGGACCAGAGCGAGGGGACGTAAAGGTGGAGCCATTTCTTTTAAATTTTGTAGTGAAGTGGGTAATTTTTTTTTCGGTAAAGAATGTGTATAATTTGATGGTGTTGAGGATTCAACCGGAATTTTTGGTGCGCGAAAGAGTGACTTTTTGTTTCGGGGGAAGGAAGGTTAGATGAAGGGTTGGGAGGGGAATGGAGGAATGAAGAGTATTTATCGATATCTCCTCGATAACGTTTGGTTTTGCTCATCTCTGGAAATAGAATCGACGAATTTTGACTGAGGTTATCTCGATAGGGAAACTACATGTAGTGACTTAATAGGTCTGTCATCACTAAGATAGTGTTGTGCAACGCGCGAGTGCGAGTCCATGATTACATGTACACCTAACGCCCAATTATAGATTCCTCAACGTCGTGGCGGGACTTACTCCAAAAACCGCTGATACAAGAATTTAAAGATGTATTCTCGGCAGGAGAATTTAATTCTTGTGAATGATTATGTAACTTATAGGTTTTATTTCAATCTGTTCAGCTTCTTACTCGCATCAGTTTACGGAAAACCGACATCAGACACTACATCTTTTTGAAGGGTTCGTTTGAGTTACCCTTTTACATACATTCTTACAAGAGGATACAGAAACTCTAAATATTCCGGTAGGATAAAAATCGTATCGAAATATACCCAAGCCAAGATTTCTACATTTTGGCACGTAACTCTTTAAACTTTGGCCTTATGCACACCGATAAATCTCACAGTTGATCATGACATGCATGTGGGTATTGGTCTTGCCAGATCGGAGCAAAAAATATCCATGGTGTGAGAGAGGGATATAGAATTGATAGAATTATGCCAGTAGCAACACACTATAATATCGACCCCAAATACTGAATCCAACGATATCTAGGGTGGGAGAGGACACCCACCATCCACCATCCAAGCCTTTTTTCTATAGCCGATTGCCCATCTTTTTTTGTTAGCTAAAGTCAGGGTTGGTTGCCTCTTCATGGGTGAACATATTCTTTGATAGGCCGACGTTTGCTGAGAAATATTCCTGGTAGAAAGCCCCCATGCGTATATCCATATCAAGCAATATTCCCAAACGTCATTCCAACCCAGTCTCCATATCACGCTCACAAAACCCCATGGCCTCATTAAAAAAAAAAAAAAAGCACTTATCCAAAAACCTTCGTCCTCCAATCATCACCTCGAAGTGTGTCGTCCCTCGCCCTCTTGCCCCTTCTACCCCTAACTACCTACCCCTCATCACGACTCTCACAAACCCCCAACGAGCCCACGTGCACATTCACGACCCATCACTCGTCCCACCACTCTTTTCTTTTTCCCCCGATCCAGCGCCTTGTTTGTCCCCGGCAAGCTGAGAAAGCAACTCCGCCAAGAAGTTTGTGCTCTCCACACACAATCACTCGTCTAGTGCGCGCCTATCCGCCTTGATCTCGCCTCTCTGCAAACGCTGTTCGCTCGCTCGTTCGCTCGATACGCCCCCCCTTTTCTTTTCTTTTCTTTCCCTTCTGGCCGGCAGCGCTATGACGTGATCTACCTCCTCGGGAGGCACGTATTGGGGAATTCGGCCAAGGGAGGGACATGGCATGTCGCGAGGGTTGATATGGTGTTTTCGATCGGTGTTTGTTTGGTGTTTGTTTCTGCCCTGGCTACATGTAGCTAGCATTACGTATGCTACGGCGGGCAGCTACAGAGATACCTCCAATCTTCACTCGGCGAATACGTATATCACTCATTGACGTACGACAAGAGGAATAGAAACAAAAAGAACCTCCAGATCTTGCAGCTTGTCATACCTGTAACCCCATTCGTCATGCAACTGGGAGTATTCGTCGAGAAAAAAGGTGAACTGCATACTGTATCACTCAGAACCCACGCATCAGGACCTGACAGCATCCGTCTCCATCCAGCCGGAATGAAACCTCCTCCCTGCCTCCGGGCCTCCAAACCCATTCTGCTCCCGTCCCCGCTGCCCTAGACACTCAACTCACTCCCTTACAGCACGACGTCGTGTAACAATGTGATCTCACATATACCGTCACATATAGGCTCGAGCATATATCATACATGTATTGTCTTGTCTTGAATTAAGCTCGGGGGGATCGATCAATCTCGGTGAGAAATTGCGATGGAAAGGGAAGCTTTCCTCCGTACCGCGATCTGGAGGGGTGCTGGGCGGTGGCTTGATCGGATGTGATGACGGTGGGTTGGGTTGGGCGGGCATGGTACGGTAGCGGGGAGGGAGGTGGGGTGTTTGGGAGTTGGGAGTTGGGAGTTGGAGAGAGTGTGGTCGGTAGCTATGTACCACCTATCTACAAGCGCAGTGGGGGTCCAAAGTCCTTCCAGACATACAGATCTCTGTATCGCCGAGCTCAAATTTTCGGACGTGGGGTGCTATCTAGAGTAGAGTATGTACATGTATGTACAGCTGGGTGTACTCTAGAGCAAGACGTCCCAATCCAATATGCCCGGGCCCCCGAGTGCTCTGAGACTTTTCGCGAGGTTCTAGAACCAAACACAGTTAAGCATGCATGGTATGTTTGTGGAGAGACGAACCCCAAGTCTGACTCTGAATATTTGGATTACTCGACAGGAGCTAGTACGGTTATGGCCTGCCTGCATGAACGGAGATGTCTTTGGTAGTCGGGGAGAAGGCGCGCCGGGTGGCCTATGTGAAGCTCTGGTACATGTAGTAGGCTTATTTATAATTATAATTATAGGGTTCTGTTGACAGTGACACTGACATATTGCGCTTGCGCTTGTTCTGGGTGCGAGTGATACATAATGACTGGCGGTGCCGGTGGCAGGTTCCGCCTACACGCTAGGATTCAGATCAGCTTACGCGCCCTTACTAACCCGGATGGGCGATTGGGCCTGGGTCAAAGGTTACTTGTGTAGCTCATGTCTAGGAAAGTAATTTCTTGTTCTTGCGGTGAGAGCTGGAATATTGGGTTATTTCAAATTATGTTGAGTACGTTAGGGGAAAACGTCAGGGTATTGAAAGCTGGTTTCATTGGAATACTAGCTACGTATACAGCTACGTATACGCAAGTATTTAGGGCTACATAAATGTATGCATAGTAGAGACTGTATCAGAGCAAATTCCAAATTAAACTCAGACCTAAATCCCACGACCGTATCCCAAAATGCACAGCATGCAGCATTCAGCTCTAAAACTTACATTAACAGCCAGACCGACAGCTCCAAAACCTACATCGCCACAGTACCAGCCAGGCCGACATCACAGTTAACACGCATCACACGTCCGGCACCACAACCTCCTTCACTGCACCATCCCGCCACCGCCCCGTCACCGTAAGCCCGACCGACCCCCATCCCGAACCCGAGGTCCGAGTCCCATCATGTCTCACGGCGACACCGGTGCGGCGTAGCCAACCAGCCTACAACCTACCTCTCATCCGACAGACAACAGACAATCCCGGATCCCTGGCAGCAGCACTGACGTTAACGTTAACTGTCAGTTAGGCTCATCCCTGGCCGCGACGTTAACTGTCTGTTGGCTATAATAGGGGTTATCCCTGGCGGTTGATAATATCGATCCCTGGTTGGCTACCATTCAAGTTTTGAGCTCGATGCTTCCAGGGACTTGTGAGTCCCGACTGCCAGGTGCGTGGTCGTGGATGCTACCTTGGTTTGATTGATTGATTTAGCACGTAGATTGGATTGGATATTTGGCTGGCCGTGGCTCGCTGCGCGGGTTCGGTGTGCTGGGAGACCAGAGATCTCGTGTCGTCCCATAGCATCATCATATCATATCATGGGGTGATATGAACTCTACTTGCTACTGCCTAGCTAGATTAGATTGGTTTTGATGCGCGGCCAATAATAACTCGGCCAATCAGAAACGGGCCTGCGTATATAATAATTCCCACGGACCACGGTCCTCCCCCATCTTTGCCATTTCTGGACGTGGACAGTAATTAGTAATTATTTGAATTGGTGATAAATAATAGCGAAATCTGGATTTTTGCCACTGTCAGATATTGGCTTGTGCACTGCCCCTGAAGGGCGGGTCAGCTATGTAGGCTGGTTAGCTGGTTAGCTTGGTGATGGGTTAGTAAGTAGAGATGCTCCGGACTTTGGACTCTGAGTAAAGCAGAGTAGGAAAATAGGGTAGAGGAGATTTGCATGTGGAGAACGCTAACCAAGCTACTCTGCGGAGCTGGTAGCTACTCCACTAGCTAACGCGGCCGAGGGAGGACCCTGGCCGAGGGCGCGGTAAAAGATACCTGGCAGCGCCGCCGCTGGAAAACACACCAGGGAACCGATGTTTAGGCATGGAGCCCGGAGGGAGCTAGAGTTAGTCGCGGCAAAACATGCCATAGGAACTTGGACCCTGAAAACGTGGGCAGGGAGGCTCTCTGGGGGAAAGCACTAGCTTTGGAGGGTGCCTGGGAAGTGCGGTAAAAGATGCCATCAGGAAACGTGGGAGGCCCCTTAGCTGGCGGTGGGGGAGCTTGGAAGTCGTTAACCATCAGATAGACCGTAGCTGTTAGAAACGGCCGAAAGTCCACCGCCGCCGGCGCGGTGGTTGGTCAATACATGTAGTTACCTACCTCTTCAGTGATCTTATCCTGAGCACCTTCTCCATCACGAGAAACCTCCGTCTTGACATGTACCAGCTACGTAGCGAGATACCAAGTTCCAACTGTACCGGCCGCCCAGGCGAATGACGAAACCAACTGTCACTCGCTCATCACGGACCAAGTCCCAGTCCCAGTCCTCGTCCCTCAAGGTACTTTACGTCCGGCTCGACTTGCACAAGCCTACATACCCGCGCAGTTGAGCGCAAAATCCGCCGCGGTAACGCGGCTTTCCAAGGATCACGATCACAAGCATACTTACTCCCAGTACTCTACATACAAGCGAGTGATCACACATGAACCCGATATCGCAAGAAATATGACCTGTCCATTCCAACCCAGTCCGTCTGCCCATCCCATCCGCTCGCCCAAATCGCCGACCTAAAAAAAAAAAAAAGAGAGCCTACTAATGCGGTAACTCGCCGACAGGGAGAAAAACGGAGAAGAGGTGGGCTATCCAGGTTGCTGGATACATATGCAACATCGGCGATTTGGGGTTTTTTAATTTACCTACATTCTAGCGGTGTGGAAGTGTACCCAACGTCCTGGTTGTGGAGGGTGGAGGGGTGTGGAAACGAACAATTTCATCTGCCTATACCTAGCTGCCCTATTTCGATTTCTACACCCAGACTAGGCTACTTGTGGAGGATTTATATTAGTGTCCAGGGTGCCGGTGTGGTGGTGAGGTGAATTAGAGAAAAGAACGGACTTGTTTCTTTTCTCGTTTCTGGTTCTTTCTTGACCGCTGCACACACACACACACACACACACACCACGGACGGAGATAGAGCCTCCTCGGCGGGGAAGAGGGTGAGGTGTGGTGAGGTGAGGTGAGGTGAGAGGTGCCGACATAAACGGTCGGCTAGAGAAGAGAGTGATGTCGTGTGCTTGCCGCAATTGTGCGCCAAGCGCCGGACGGTGGAACCGGCGGTTTGGGTGCGGACGGATTCAACGACGTGCTGCCTGCTTGCTGCTTCTGGGCAGACAGCGGGCAGATGGAAATAGAATGTGTGGATACACGTAGAGTGGAGACAGACTCACTTTACGGCATACCGACCATCTCCTCCCCCGAAACAATCCACCCTCCGCCTATTATCCCACCTCTCCATTCCCCTCCGTCCTCGCCTCCATCCGGGTGTCACCACACCACGGCGGCCCAGCAGAGGTACCAAGTATCGTAGAGTACATGTACCTACCACAGCACCTACATGCACCCGGTACTCTACCTACATGTACATATCCAGATCGATCCGGCGCCGGCGCATCCGGCACTTGCTAGCTTGCCAGCTTGGCCTCTTGTATCGCTGCACGGCATTTGTATATCACATCTACATATCTGGCCGGCGCCGGCGCCGATCTATCTCGTAAGGCTGGCTAAATGCCGCCGCCCCAAACTTACGTAGAGTCGCTTACATACATACATCCGGTGCCAATGATCATTGATACGTAGCGAGCGAGCGAGCGAGCTGTGTGGTGTCGTGTAGTATAGTTGGCACGGGGCAGCATGGGGCAGGCAAGTAAGGCAAGTAAGCTTGAACCCTGACGTGACTGACAGCTAGACATACCACTACCTAGTACGGTATTTACCTACTGGCTACTATCGAATCCCACGCCGAAGCCTATGCCCACGCGGAGGGGGTTATGGTTCCCTCCCCCCCAATGGGCGACTTCCCGTGGAGGTTTGGAAGGGGTTTAGAGGCAGTTTAGAGGAAGTTTAGAACAATAAAATCTGGATGGCAACGTTCCAGATTCAGAATCTGAATGGGGGGGGGAGGGGGGTGCGTTCAGATTTTCTAACAAGTAAAATTTGAAAGACTGCAATATGATTGGTTGAGAGAGATGCGGGGTGGGTCCTGAAGTAATGGGCTATAGTCAGGTTCGGTACCGTAGTAGTTTTTCAACCATCAACCTCTACTGGAGAATCAATCAAGATGTCTTCTCAGTTCATTCGGCGAAAAAAAATCATTGTACTTTCTTTGTTTTTGATTTTAATCTCGCTTGAGCGTAGAAGTAGAAGGAATCGCTACTACCTTACCCGTTCTGTTCTGCCACCATCACCTAGCGAGAACACCGCATGGCAGCATCTACTTCATTCCCGTGAAGACCGAGCTTTTATCTTGACAATGGGAGTTGGGGTGGAAGTATTTGAGCATATTTTATCAGCGGGGTTCACAAAAGAATGGGAAACAGCACCTATTCCACGCAACGATGTCGGTCTTATGTCGAAAACACGTCTATACAAACGCTCACTTGATGCACCTGGAGTGTTGGGTCTTGTATTACATCATATCAACTCCACAATGGCCGACTTCAGTCTACAACAGATATTTGGTTTGACACCAGCTGTATGCTCTCGATATCGAAATTGGGGGCTGTGTATCTTGCAAGCAACTTTAAGGGAGTTTCCAGCAGCCCGTATCTGCTGGCCCAAAACATTATCAGAATGCGAACGATATTCCAACTTAATTTCAAACCGTCACCACCATCTGACAAAAGCAATTGGGTTCGTCGATGGCTGTCATCTTCCAATCTTTACATCTTCCGATCTTGATCTCCAAAACGCATACTACAATGGTTGGTGTTCAGCACATTTCACCTCAAATATATTCGTGTTTGCTCCTGATGGGACAATTATTCACGCGACTATTAATGCACCTGGGAGTTGGCATGATGCAGCTGTCTCACGAGATTTATTTGCGCAACTACTTCTTGATACTCCGGCTGGCTATTGGATTATTGGCGATACAGCATTTCCGACCTCCAAAGAATTGAAGGACCGAATCAAAACTCCACCAAAGACAAGTTTCAATGCATACCCATCTGATATTGATGAGTGTCGCCGTTTCATTCAATTCAATGAGCAATTGGTTTCCGCCAGACAGGCAGCTGAATGGGGAATGAGATGCTTGCAAGGGTCATTTGGGCGACTTAAATTGCCTATGCCCGCAGAGGATGCTGCATACAGATACAGGCTTTTGGAGGTATGCAGTAGACTCCATAATGTACGGACATGTTTGGAAGGGATCAATCAAATCCGTACTGTGTATGAAGGTGTTTGGAAAAGTAACGGAGAATATTCAGAGTTTCAAGAACTTCTTTTTCGTGATATTAAGAAGAACGATAGAATCAGAAGATTCTATCATTTTGTACCTTAACGCTCCTATACATTCCTTGATTGACTAAAAAATCCTGTATTCCCTTGATCCGAACTATCAACACCATCAATTCAGTTGTGTTCTTTTTGAATCATACTGTAACGGCAGCTATGTATCTTTGATTAGGTGATAGACTGGAACGAGGAAAGGAGGTATTGTGTAATGGTATTATGATTTGTAATGGGGATTTCTGTTATGTTCTTTTAGTTTCTGTTACGCGGAGATATTAGTCATTATTGGACTATGGCTGGATATATAAGGGGGCGTTGTCTTGTGCTTTTATTTGTTTTCCTTCTCTTCTTTCTTCTTTATGCAACCTCTGTATTTATTCCACGAATACTATTCTTTGTCCGCACTACGTCATAGGGTTCCAACTGGTTTATCATACCAGGTAGAGCCACCCCATAGTCCATAGTCAAAGTATACCTTTACGTCTACGTCCACGTCTACGTCACTACCTAGGTTGTATTCCTTGGCACCACAGTCTATCGCCTACAGTCCCCGTGATACATACAGTTATGTGTACTCCAAATAGCAAGCTGTAACTTCAATTCGTGGTTTTCATCCTTCATTCGCTCAAGCTCTTCTTGCGTACGAACAAGTTTTTCCTCCAGCTTATCATAGCGTATTTCCAATTTCTCATAACGTATATCAGATCTTTCTAAAGCACGCTGTAGTACATCTTCGCTGCCTTTAGCTGCAGTTTCTTCCCGTTCAAAAGTACTCATAACTTTATTGAGAAGCTCAGAAGCTTGTGAAGTAATGCCCGGAGTTTGTCGCTTAGCTCTCTCAACTGTCATTTTCAATTTGGGTACTGATTTATCGAATAGAGTATGCTCGGGTAGTACCTAAATAGAATAAAAGTCAGGACTTCGTCAAGCAACTTGAATATCAAACTGAAACCTACCCGATCATCATTCAAAATAGTCAAGGATACATCCAACCCTTTGAAATTATCATCGATCAACTCATCATTTTTCCCCTCCTTATCAATAGCAATTCCACTTTCCGAATCATCAAGTTTCCCCATATGAAGAACTCCATCAATCTCATATTTGATTTCTCTCGCTTCCTGTATTTCCCAGTTCAAGTCCGGATCTCCAGTTGGTTTTGAATAACCATCCCGTATTCTGTCACTATAATATTTTTTGAGAAAATCTCCATCTCTATCCTTTCTATCTAGTTCTCTAGACAGTCTGTTATACTCCGTTGAAACTATATCCCATTTATTGGATCCAAATGGCTGAACCCGCCTGATAATCCCAAAAGCTCTCTTCTTATCCGCATCAGTGAAATTCTGTGATCCGGGTACTCTCCCACCCTTCTTGATTTTTTTCAGTAGAGGCTCAGCAGGTGAAGCTGGTTTAGCAAGAGCAACAGGCTCGGCGGTCTCGGCGGTCTCGGCGGTCTCGGCATCGGCAGCATTTGGTAAATAAGTGGGTAGAGTTGATTGAAATCCGGTACCAAACTGTTGACTACTAGCAGCGGCATTGGTAGACACCTATTACAGGAGTTAGAAAAAGAAATATATCTTAATTGAAGGCACTTACCGCTACTTTTCTCTTATTTGACATTCCTCAAATTTGGATTGTTGATGAGCAGGTGATAGTTGATGAACGGGTCTGGATGAACCGGTCTTGATGGACTGGTGATGGTTGATGAACAGGATGAGTTCACAGTTGCGACCACCTAAGCGGGTCCCTCAGGCTGCAACAGCCACTAGCACCAAAAAGAATGCTTAGAAATCTGGAATGTATGGTCGCCATGGGAAGGTGTTCACGCCCACTTCCAAAAATCTATTTTTCTAAACCTCCACGGGAAGTCCTCCAATTGCGCCCCCCTCCCCCAATTACAAGTGCCCCCAAGTGGGGGGATCCGGAGTGTTTGAAACCCCCCGTCCGTTTCGTGGCCTGTGCATCCTAGCTTTCTTTCTGCCTACCAGCTAGCTAGCTGCCTACTTTCCATGCTGACCTATCGATATCATGACTCTACTCTACTCTACACATGAGCACGGCTCCCTCTCCCCTCAGCTCAGGGCCTGCAGCCAATGATTCCCGCGGAGAACACACACGCACGGTACGGCCGGGTGAGATAAAGAAACAGACGGGGGCTGCGTGGGGAGAGTTTTGGTTTGGGTTTTGGATCCCACGGAGCTCATGATCAGCTCTGGTAGTTGGAATGATTTGCCCCCCCCCTCCCCCCCTCTCCGGCCCCGATACGATATCGATAGCACGGTACTTTCCTTTAGATATGAAATGGGTAGATGTGGATTTGGTGATAATCGTGCGGATTGCGAGACCGATGCCCCCCCCCCCCCCCACACGGGTATATACTTGATAGACAGCTAGAGGACCTAAGAGTAGGTAGGCCGGTAGTACTCAAAGTAAGAGCAGAGGCCGAAATAAGTGTTCTCGGGCTCTGATCATGATGCTCAATTGAGGCTCAGGATTACTATCATATTCATATCACATCAGTAGAGCCGCTCAAAAAATCAAATACCCATCTGTCCATATCTCTATCCAGATCCAAAGTGGTAACTAATTAATTGTAGCTACTATTTACGCCCCCTCCGTCCCCTGCCATGGCTCCGTACCTCCATCCAACATCACTTGCAATTGCAACTCTACTCTACTTTGCCATCACCATCCACGTGCACGTGGGGTTCGCAAGAGGAATATCGGAGCCATTGCCTCACCATTGGCTAAAATGCGGAGGAGGTCCCTCCCTGACCATGATTACTATCCCCCCCCCCCCTCTCCTCTCCTCTCCGCCACCCCCCCTCTCCCCTCCCCCCATGGCAATCTATACCTCATGACCACCATTTCTCGCTACCATATCTAGTCCACTCCTATCACATCCGGAACAAGGCAGGGTAGGTAGAATAGTAAAAAAAAAAAAAAAAAAATTTATTATAAAAATTATAAAAATAAAACCAGAAATAGAAACATGCCACCCCATCGGACCGGGCGTGGGAGGCTCTCTCCCGATCTCTCCTCTCCCTACATGCATACAGACAGCATAGGACAGGGCACCCCTCCCTAGCAAGAACGGGTCATTTTTTCCTACCTGCCTGCAGCGATGGCCCGCGGACGCGGGCGTGGTATGTCGAGTAGTCGGCGAGGTAGGGAATGTTGGGTAGCTTAGGGAAAGAAAGCATTTGTAGCGAGCAAAGGGGGGTGGAGGAGCATAGCATAGCATAGCATCATGTAGGTATGAAACGGCGCACTGGGTGGATAGTGAGTGTTGCGAAAGACAGGCAACCAGACAGCTAGCCAGACAGGATAGACAGGCAGGAAAGACAGCATGCAACGATCGACAGCCTCCATGCAAAGGGGTCATTTTTGTGCCTTTCGCTACCGGTTTCTTGTGCATGAGAGTGCTGTGGGTGGGTGGGTTCCGAATGTCCACCACAGGGAGGAGGGGTGGTGACCTTGCCTGCAGAGTATGTATGTATGTAGGTAGTTCCTGGTAGCTATACCCTACTACTCTAGAGGTGACTGGGCAGTAGACGACCCAACAACATTCCTCCTTCACGACTCCCGTCTCGCGACGTTCGGGATCCAATCGGTACTTGGACGTGGCGATGGCGGGCAAGCGAGAAGAGAAGAAGAGGAACCGAGAAAGAGAGACGGCTGGTCTGCACACATGACATGGAGGGATTGGATGGCTGTATCTGTATCTGTACCTGTACCTCCAGAACGGAAGATGCCTTGAGATGACAGTACTCAAGCCTCAAGGTACCGTGTATCTATCTTCATAGCTATGTATATACATCCGCAGATCAAGATCGCAACCCACTCCCACCACAGTCCACGATGCCCGCCCGCCCTGCCCATCCCCCATCTTGACATCCATTCTGACCACTAGTAGAGTACCAGTGTATGTATTTACAGCTAGCTAGCTCGGTGAAGTGGCCTGTGCCCGCAACCACCCCCCACCCCCCACCCCCTGTCTGTACCTTTTTTGGGTGTAGGCAGCTAGTTAGTGCACGTCCCCTCGCTTTTTTTTTTCTTTTTTTTTTTTTTTTTCCTTTTCGCTGCGCTGCTGTGTCACCTTTGCTTCTGCTTCCGTTACAGCACAGCACAAAACAGAGAATCGGGGCTTTTCTCGGCTGGTAACTAACGGTGTCCAAGTTCGAGTGCAGGTCCGGTTGTGATTGGATTGGATTGGATTTGGGGGAGAGGGGGGGGGGGGGAGCGTTCACCGTCGTTCACGTATTTGTACGAGATTTTCTTCTAACAACTTTGACATACGGCCCCCCATACTCTGTCCGCACGCACAAATTCTAAATTCTACTCTAGTGCCCCCCCCCCCCCCCCCCCCCGTTATTTAGCATTTAGCGAGGGCCCCCCCAACCCGGCCGGTACGTACTGTGTGTAGATCGGAGCCGGTAGGTTAGCCAAGGTTCAGGTTTTAAGTCTACATTTCGGTACCTGCACATCCAATGGCAATCCCGAGTGATGCGATTGTGATGTGGGATGTGTGCAATTGATCAGTCATGATCGGAGCATGTCATCTCATATCACATCTGACCTCCCTCGCTCTTCTCCGCCCAGGGTAGTAGTTGTGGTTATAGTATAATGCTGCTCTATAGTAGAAAATATATATAGTGCAGAGCAGTAGGTACTCTACATACTCCTGTCGATCTCCCAATCCCACTGCTCCGGGAGTGTAGAGTGTGTGTGGGTATGACAAAGACAAAGGGGGTGGTGCACTGCACTGCCGTCGTTGCAGTTATGTAGTTATTCCAGATCTGAAGATTTCTACATACGGGGGACAGAGGAGTGTTTGGAGACGTACTCCAGTGCAGTGTAGTTTAGGTCCTAGACAAGAGACAGACAAAGGGACAGCTAGAAACGTTTTACATACGCCCTCGAACATCCAAGAGGCAGCAAGACGGGTATCCCGCAGGCTCTTCGTTGCTAATTTTCTTTTTGGCCCTTTCCTCACCAGGCCTCCCTCACTCACTAGGGAGAAAGCATCCAGGGTACCGGGAAGCATCCGTGCGCCGGTTTCAAGGTTGTGGGTGGGCGGTGAGAAGGGGTGTGGGTGGGAGGTTAGGTTAGAGCAGAATTCGAAATGGCAGATGTAGCTCAGACCCCCCCCCCCCCCAGGGGGATTTGGGGAGGGGGGGGGGGGATGGGATGGGGATTGTGGATGTATGTAGGTGGGTTGATTATAATTAATACTTAGACGTCCGGCCTGCCCACACTCGATCGACTCGGCCAGGCACACACACACACACCACACACTGCATACACACACATACTCGAACTGCTCATATATACCTGCACACTCGACACGCCTGTTGGGTTGGACGGACGGGAATTTTTAGCTATAGGTATATAGGGTGTAGACTGGACTGACTGGCTGCTATATTACGGCTGTTATTTGTTGTTGACCCTGTGTTCTCTGCTGCCATTATTGCTGCCATTGATATCATAACTACTACTGCTACTACTACTACTACTGCTAGTACGGGCTGTTATATCACCAGCTGCCTGCTGCTGCTGCTGCTCCTCCAAACCCCACAAACTAACCACCTTTAATTCATCCGCCCATCACGACCATTCCTCCACCATACCCACCACCACCACCACCACCACCACCACCACCCACCCCCGCAAGACCACAATGGTCACCGGCGTAGTCTACGTGCACCCGCGCAGCGCCTTCTCCGACTCCACCACATCCCTCGCCTCCACAACGCCCCCCGACAAATCCTTCCTCAAGCGCCTCTTCAACCGGCACCGCCCGCGGGCCACGCCCTCGCCCACGTCATCCTCCACCTCCTCCTCCACCTCCACCTCTACCTCCTCCGCACTCACGACAACACAGCACACATCGATGGCGCCCTCGCCGCACACCCACCCGCTGCTGGCGAAGCCGTGCGCCCGCGACGAGCTCCGCCCCCGCACGCCGCTGGCAAAGTACTCGCACCTCGACGGGACCATCTCGGCGGGCGGCGAGGGGTTCGTGCATTCGCGCCGGGTGCTGGCGGGGCGGGAGAGGGCCGTGGAGGGGAGTGGTGTGGGGTTGGGGTTGGGGTCGGTGGGGCAGGGGCAGGGGCTGGGGCTGGGGCTGGGGCTGGGAGAGGGGCTGGGAGAGGGACGGTTCGTGCAGGAGTGGGGCTTCTTTATAAAGTGCTATGCGGAGGGACGGTTTAATCTGTCGAACCCGCCGGACCCGCCGCCGAGACGGGCGGGGTTCGAGTATCTTGTTGCGCCGACGCCGCCGGGGGAGAAGGCGAGGCTCGAGGTATGTCTATTCTCATATTCTCTGCTCAGTTGTTAGTTTTTTTTTTTTCATATGTGCTGGATATGTGCTGATTGGGAGAAAAAAACAGGCAGTCAAGGCCTGCAACGTCTCGCTGCCCGACAACGCAAACGACAAGTACCACCGCCTCGTGCAGCTGGCAAAGAAGGTGTTCCACACGCGCATGGCCGCCATCAGCTTCATTGACGGCGAGCACGAGCTGTTCAAGGCCGAGCACGCCCTGGGCCGGCGGTCCGTGGCGCGCGACGAGAGCATTGGCGCGCATGTGCTGCTGCTGTCGGGCGAGCCGATGGTCATTCTGGATGCGGCAAAGGTGCGTAGATCTTTTTCTTCGTCTATCTATCTATCCTGTGTGTGATCATCCCGCACCGTTGCTATGTACCGGTCGGAGAATAAACAAACACTCCTCAGTTGGTTGTCTGTCTGTGGTGGTGATTGGCTGTCTGTGGTGATTGGCTGTCTGTGGCGATTGGCTGTGTGGGGTCGGTCGTTGCAACATTATTGGTGGCAGAACCGGCGGCTAACACACCCCCAAACAGGACTGGCGCCTCTCCGGCAACCCGCTCGTCGCCTCCGCGCCGCACGTCCGCTTCTACGCCGGCGCGCCCATCGTCACCCACGACGGCCACACCATCGGCACCTTCTCCGTCTTCGACACCACGCCGCGCAACGCCTTCTCCGTCGCCTGCCGGAGAAAGCTCATGGACTTTGCGCGGCTGTCGATGACGGAGGTCGAGCTGGTCATGGAGGAGCACGGCATGATGCTGAGCCGGTGCACGTCCAACACCACGACGCTCGAGCGGCCCAGCAGCAGCAGCAGCAGCAGCAGCAGCTCGTTGATGACTGCCTCGCCGCCACCCACACCCACGCCCACGCCCGCAGCGGCAGCAGTGGCGGTGCTGAAGCGCGATGCGGCAGCACCGATAACCCGCCCGCTGCCCCTGCGCACACATGTGCCGCCGGCCATCAACATCCCGCGGGACACAAGCTGCGACCGGCAATCGCGCACGTCGACCCGCATCTCCACCATGCCCACCCCGCCACACACCCCCAGCCGGCCATTCTCAATCTCGACCGCCGCCTCCCTCGCCCTCAGCTACAGCCACACCTTCAGCCCCTCGCCCGTCGCATCACCGACAACGACAACAGCAGCAGCCGCGGACGGAGCAACAATAATCACCCACCACCCGCACCCGCACCCGCACCCCCGCGGACCACCGCCGCCCCCCGCGACGCCGGGACCCATCACGTCGATGGCCGAGGCGTCGTTCGCAACGTCCATCATCGCCCGCTCGCTCAACTACGACCTCGTGTACCTTTTGCGCGTCTCGCCCGTGCGCAGCCCTGAGCCGCAGCTGTACGACGACGCGACGGCGTGTGCGACGGACAACATGTACACCAAGATCCTGGTGGCGCACGGGGTGCCTGACCCGCTTCCGGTCTTCGACGCCGCGCTGCATCTGCGTGCGCTGCGCAGCGCGGGAGGCCTGGTTTACAGGAACCCCGCGAGGAGCAGCGAGGAGGATGACGTGGGCTATGGGCTGGGCATATTGCTGCCGCTGGTGCGGGACCAGAGGGGCGAGGTGGCGGACGAGGGGTATTGCTCCGGTGGGAGCGGGATGGTGGGTGGGGGGGGAGGCGGTGACGGGTGTGCGGGGGGGATTGTGCTGGCGGCGTTTACAAAGGAGGGGGGAAGGGAGGGGGCGCCGCTGTTTACGGCCGATGAGGTGCACTGTCTGCGGGAGTTTGGGGAGGCGATGAAGGATATCCTCGTCAGGGTCGATCGGAAGTTTTAGTTTTATTCTTTCTTGTGACCCGTTTTTTGACTGACCTTTTCTTTGGCTTCTTTTCTTTGGGTTCTTTTATAGCTTTTTTTTTTTATTTATTTATTTATTTATTTATTGGGGCTTGGTTTCTTTGGGTTTCTTTTCTGTTTTTTTTTTTTTTTGGGCGGGGGAGGGGGGGGTTCTTTTAACATATCACATTATATTCCCTTCTTTCTTTCTTATCTATTTTTTTATTCCTCACCGTCTTCTTCGTTGTCTATTTTCCTCTTATACCCATTATCATTACCAACCCCTTTTCCCTTTCTCCTTCTTTCTCTTTCTCTTTCGCAACCCCCCCCCCCCCCCTTCTTACCCGGCGTTCTGGTGGCTCTTTATTTTTATTTTTTTTTTGCTTTTACTCTACCTTTCGCTATCTCACGCACACACCGCAACTCTCCTTCTCCTACATCCTATCCATCCCCTGGCTGGGCCGGACGATAACCAACAACAACAACAACAACACACACGCATCGATTGATCTCTTATGTCCCCTTTTTGTCTTTTTAACGGTGTCTGGCTGGGAGTTTTATCTGTTTCTTTTGGGTTGGGGGCGAGGCACGAAAATTATTCTCTTAAGGGTGGGGGTATGAAGAAGAGTAGCTAGCTATGTTCGAATCAAGTAGAACAACTACAGAAGAATAAAAAAAAACATTTGAAATAATATCGAGGTGCCAACTTGATTCGTATTTGTGATGTGTATAACATTTGGGGGCTTTAGCTTTTACCAAAGAGTCCAGGGTTGATGGCGGTGGTCCTAAAGAAAAGGCTTTCCCGCGCTGCTATCAGTAGCGACCAATGATCGCAGCAACCGGAAATAGTGGGCAGTCACGTGGCGCCAGTTGTTATGTAGGCGCGGGGCATGGGTGATCACTCGCACCCCAAGCTAGTACGGTCTACACTCCCCCACCAAAACACAGCCAAGCCGCGGGATCTTTTGTCTCTTGGCCTAAACGATTATGTTTTTCATTCTCATTGACTGCGTTGCAAAGAAATGGTTCATATAAATCTCAGCAGGACAGACGCCAGGCCGGTAGGCAAATATAGTACGAACGGGGAACGGCGGGCGACTATCTATCAGCCTGAAAGCCACTATTTTTGCCGCCAAATACTTGCCTGCCTACCTGCCTTGGCTTGAGTCTCAGTGTTGACTCAAAAAATTACTGTAAACATACCTTCATCCGGCCTGTGCAAATGGAGAATTATGGGTGTTTCTGTCCGGCCGCTTAAAGTGTATATCGAAAGAACTAGTAGCTATGAATGTAATATATCGATGTAAGAGAGACAAGGTGTGTTATATTGATCCTGGCCAAGATACCTCTCGCCACTGATTCATATGTCGTCGTTTGGTTGCACTGACCTCTTCAAATGGGGATCACAACAACCTGCAAACCCCCTTCTCGATCTCACACATTGTCTCCCGGGACTACCCCAACCTCTGCTCCACCTGGATAATGATCTGTCTGAGTCAACACAAGCTTCTTGACCGGGGCCCGATCAAGTCACTGGGGTCTTATGCCGATGCTTTCAGGAAACTCCTCCACGGCCCCCAACCGTATCTTATTGCGCGGTTTGCGGTAAGAGAGGCCATTACGTAGCTACCACTAGTGTCAAAGCTGGCCGGTCCTATAATAAAGCTAACACATGTCTTCAATGTGACAGAAATGTGATGGAAATGTCGAAGAAGGGTTTAAGTAATGCATGTTTGGTATGCCGGCAGTGCGCTCTTCAGCGTGCTGTTGGAGTATTTTGGGTGTGTGTGGCCTTAATTGTACTCCACATGTGGTGAGTGTGATAGGTATAGGTTTTCGAATGGCGGGTAGATGGAAGTCGGGGGTATAGAAAGTTACCTATATTGCACAGGAGTGCGGGAGCGGCGACTAAGAGAGGACACCACTATTGTAGATATATTTAGATGCAGTCGACTCGTACCTCCTACTAAAACATATCATCCATCTTGATACCTCAACAGGACGGCGTAATTGATGCCGTTCTGTGCCATTCATGATCAGAATAGTATATTTCTGGTCTGAAAGCGGCTCTTTGCGGGTTGTATATTGGCTCATGTGGATCCGAGTTAGATACTATTTTCTATTCCGATTAGCGTCTAATATGCGCAAGAAAATGTTAGTTATAGTAATATTGTCCTCCTGGTGACTGGTCGATATTACCATAGAATAGCATCCATAACTGAAGCTGCATAGTGCTGAGAAAAGTCCTGAGGTGAATCGAAGTATCTACAGGCATAGATAGATGGAATGTATGTCTTAAATGCTCAAGGCTGGCCTAGCTACAAAGGAAATACCACACGGAGAGTACACGTAGAGTAAGGGAATCGAATCTGGCATGACTCGGGATTCCATATGTGTTCTCACGGGGTACGTCTGACAGCTCGAGACTACATGTACTCATAGAGTCTGACTCGGAACTAGGGTTAGGGGTCATTTATCATTCTCAACAACTTTTCGTTGTACCTACACGTGCTTATTACAAAAAGCCTTAGGACTCGCCGCAAAGTCGAATATCTAATTCTATAATCCATGGCAGTATAATGATGACCAAGCAATGTCGGGTTTTAATCCTCAGGCAAACAGGCATATTATATTCGTCTAGTAAGGCTATCAGCGGCCTCATAATATACCAGCAGATTTCCAGCCGACAGACACTACCGTATCGGGTCTTTCCTGGTTGGAATATTTGGTTCGATATGTCAGGTTGCTGGGCTTCGTGTAGAGCGTCGATCGGAATCTGATCGAGTGAAGGTAACCACGTGCTCACCCGAAAACTCAAGACGGCGGTGGAAATGAAGGAGTGAAAGAGCTAAGGCTAACCTAATTAGTGGTGATGTGGAAGCATTTCTTTTTTCCTGTGCTCTATTCTCCGAATATATATTATCAATCATCAGTGTCTATTCACGTCACAGGGCGTCACTCAGCCCAGACGCCTTACTCCGAAAAGAAACAGAACACACTACCCAGCGTACCTACATACTAGTATCTGCATTTTAGAAATTTATAAATATTATTAGTCTATAAATCGATACATATAGCCGATAATATAGTTGAAAGACATGCTCTTGCAGCATCGAAATGGCGAGTGCGACTTGATGATCGATAAAAGTCCAACCACAGCCGATGAAAACAAATAAAGTATGAATAAGCGTACTGTCATCCAATAGAGCATGTGCATCCGTGATGATGTTGGTAGGGGGTCTGATTGGGCTGTGCCCTTTTGAGACACAACAAGAGACAGACAGGGGGGGGTGTTCGTTATGAGTCCCAAAAGCTAGACCATATCGTCCTTCGGGACATTTGGTCAATTTGAAACGATACAGAGAAGATTAGCATGGCCCCTGCACTAAGGATGACACGCTTCACAAAGATGAGCTAAACAGTTTTTTTTTTTTTTTTTTGAAAATGTCCGGTCGAAGGTTCAAGTCCGAATTCACGCTCCTTCTAAGTAAGACATTCAATATTTGGTGGCCATGGCAACCCTACTGTAGACATTTTTGAATCTCACTGTGTATAAATTTTGTGTTATATATATCTTCACACATACATATATTTAACTAAATAAAGTTTATAACTTTACTAAGTTCTTAGGCTATCAACTTAAAAACAATATCAAAAGAGGAATCTGAATAGATGTGATCCGAAATCGCGAAAACAAATTTTCATCCAACACCGTATCCTGCCAGATAGGGAAGTAGTCATTTCACACACTTTCTAACTACTTTACCCTTGCTACGCCGGTTTAAACTTTCGCTGTTAGAATAATAAATAGTGGAAGGGCCGAGACAAACCCATACGATATCGTGGGCTACATATTCGCGCATAAATTAGTCATGATCACACATTCAAGTGTGGATTAGTGTGAAAAGAGAAGATCATGTCCTCGTGCCAGAACCCCTTGGAACAATTATTCTCGTGACGAATCAGTAAGATATCGTGAGTTCAGCTAGAGAAGATACATGTACGCGGGAACCATTCCTCATTCGCATCAGAAACTCTATTCTAGTTACAACTATTGTATTTATATAGACTTCGACTGAAGCTTTTCGGAAACCCCGAAACAAAAGGGAAACATTTCCCAAGGCCTCTCTAGATCTGTACACGTTCGACGTTGGTAATAAGTTTCACAGAATGCATGTAGTAACCGTCTTGTACACTCAAAATACTATTTCTCTATGGTGTGTGCTATGCTTGGTCTGTAGCAGATATGAGAATACCACCCACCACCAAGAAATCGACACCAACAAAATCATCGAGCAATCCCTCTATATATATTTTTATATGTCATGCGTACCTCAAGTACTAGCGTTAATAGGTTTTATGTAGTATTGCCACTTAACCTCATGATAGAGGCGAAAAGGCCTCGTATCCCCAATTTTCTCCCGCCAAAAAAAGTAGTCCGTATTGAAAGAAAAAAAAAAAATAAGGAAGAAGATTTGAAATTAAGTGAAATAACCCCCGCAATTTTTTTCAGAAATGTAAGAAAAGGGAGACTCGACAGATGATGATTCAATGCAGTGACGAAACGAGGAAAGAAAAGGAGGAAATGCTTTGAACCGGCATCCTCGATACTTTTAAACAAATTGTCTCAATTTTGTGATCTGCCGTAGAAAAACACGTCAGGTCCGAAAATTCCACTTTTAAGGAACCTTATTGTGAAAAGAAATGTGTTCAGAAGGTCAGGAGTTATCCATACCTCATTAAGTAATTCTTGTAGATCCTCATCCGAGATCTTATCCTGAAGACTCGGAATGAGGGTTTTCGCCTCCTCGGCAGAGTCACAGCATAGGGTACCTGGCAGAGAGTGATTTAGATGGTAAGATTGAAATGAAGGAGGTACAGAGAGAGGTAGGTACCTAGCTGTGACTTCTCAAAGGCAACAAGATCCGTTTGCTGTGCAAGGATCCGCTCTACGGCTTGGACACTCTCACGCTGCTTGAAGCGCGAGAAAACTTCAAGATA